CATTAAAATGTTGCAACCTCGTTTTTTTGATGTCAGTTATTGCCAAAACACGCATTAGCAATAGGCTGAAATTTTCCACGTGGGAGGTAGTTTTGCTATGACAATATACGCATTGATTTATTTTTAAATACCAGAAAGCACATGGACATACTCATAAAAAGAAATAAAAGGAGGATTTCCTTGAGAAAGCAGATTAAAGTGTAGGTTGTGTCTGTGTTTATACAGTATGAGTCGGAATATGAAGACATATTGTGCGCAAAGGTCATGATTAAATCATGTGTTGATCAATAGCAACAGTGAAAAGGCTTTGGTGCAGTCATGACTCAGAAGACGACAATCTACCACAATATACCATGGGACAAAGGTTTAAAGTCGCTTATCGCTGTAGTTTCCTAGGATCAAGCAACTTATGTTATAGGCAATAAAAATAAAATGTTCTTTACAGCACATATAAGCACATGTAGGGATCGAATGTATCGATATAAAGTAACAGGTAAAGATGTCTATCTGCATTGCCAAAGAATTTGAGGGATGATTTCAAAATGCGAATGATCTACAGTAACATTATACACCTACATTCTTCATATTGCAAGCCTTTTGGGTCAAACTTTATTTTAAAGTACAATTATTGGTATTAACAAATCATTTACTAAGACTTTTAGCTCAATAAACTACTAATTCGCTGCTTATTAATAGTTAGTAAAGCAGTAGCTGTGTTTAGGTACTGGGTAAGATTAGGGATATAGAATAAGATCATACTTTATAAGTACTAATAAACAGCCTACATTTTAATAGTAAGCAGGGAGTGAGCCAGTAGTTAATAGTAAGAATTGCTGTTATTAAATAGCGTTACCCATATTTCTAGGCATGTAGTATATTGATTAATGTTAGTTTTTACATACACAGGCCATCAGGAACTTAAAATTGACATTAAATGTTAGCAATGCTTAGTAAGGCTGCAATAATTTGTTATAAAAACACAAATCCGATTGTTCAGCAGCCATTACACAATAATTATCAATTTTCAACCTATAATAGCTTAAAGCTATAGTTCACCCAAAAATGAAAATGACCTCATCTTGCTCAGGTGGTTTTTAAAACTTTATGAATTTCTTTCTTCTGTTGAACATAAAAGAAGATATTTTGAAGAATGTTGGTTGCTGACAGGTAGGAAAGTAGGAGAAAAATTACTATGGAAGTCAATGGGTGCCAGCTACAACTATTTTTCAAAATATCTTCTATAAGAAGATATAAATAGTATTATTATTTGTTTTTTTGGTCCTTCATGCATCATTGACTTCTATAGTGAGAAATAAAAATACTCAATCTAGAAGTGAATTAATGAATATTTAAATTCAAATATAAAAATGTTACATTTTACATTTTTTTAACTCTCCCGGTTGCCAGATAAATTGAGGTTCACACATTCAAGGATGGTCTAGTAACTTTATTGACTATATTACAAACAAGAAATCATATTTTTAGGATAATGAATTCATAAAAAAATGACGACTTTAAGACAAAAATCTTAAAAGAAGTTTAAAATAAAAATGTCATGACAAAATAAAATTCAGTACAGTATTATATGAACAGTAAATATTATTATATAGTTCATATTCATAATATATATAATATTAGTAAAATATAAGAAAGAAGATTAAAGAGAAGCATGAGTAAATGATGACAGAATTGTGTTTTCTCTTTTTAAAAAATGCTGAAAAAACTGTTTCATGAAGAATGTTGCACAATATCAGTCAAATCACACTCATGTCTGCATAAATGAAGGTATATTTAACATAAAAAATGTTTTTTTTCCAAATGTCTTTCCTTGTATGACTGTAAATCCATTAATTTCCAAGACATTTGGGTTAAAATGATGCATCACTAAGCAAACAGATGCAAAAGTTTCACTTGCAAAATATTTCACATTATGAAACTTGGGAAGAACAAACATCCTTAAGCCAAACTAAATCCCCTTATTAATTCCAGTTTCTTCAAGCACACATTTCTATTTGTAAGTGTTGAAAAAGACGAACTATACTTTTGAGCTGAAGGTTCCAGTATGTACTGTATGCGGGCGATTCACTAAACTTTACAATAAAGTCATTAAGACACATTATGTAATGCGGATCAGTATGCACAGTCAGATTTGTTAAACATTATACAAATCATTATGATGTTTGTTCATGGCGTACTAATCACAACAGTTCTTTAGTATCTGATATCTGGGTAAGCCATTTCAACAAATGGATTGCGATAATGAAGTATGTGAAGAAAAGGGTGATCTTTTATGGTGAATTTAGCTTAATTTTTCTCTTTCTTCACACTTTAGTGGCTCACATTGATGGGCTGGACCTGATTCGGATCATCGTTCTCAGGGCGCCTCTTTTTACAGGCATCATAAACATATACAGACGTTATCAGAGAACAGGGTGGAATCTCGGCAACATAAGTGTGATTCCCACAGATTAACATTAATTTAGCACCAGGAGTAATACTCAAGATAAGAGTCATTATCTCAGTTGACAATTTAGCTTTTGTTAGTTGATAACTTGCCTAAATAAATCTGAATAACTGAAACTGAATGGATCTGTTTCTAACTTTTATTAAAAAACATACCAGTGTAACATTTCCGTTACTTATTTTTGAAATACTAACACATTACTTCTCAGCGATGACTGCTTACTTCTCAGCGATGATACTAATACTTAGTCTTTAGCTGCTAGCTCAAATACTTTAGTACTTATCAACAACTACTTACAGTGGGGAAAAGAAGAATTCAATACGTTGTTTTTTCTCTGGGAAAATTATTTCTAAAGGAGCTGTTGACATGGAATTAAACCAGATTGTGGTCAAATTAAACCAGATTGTGTTTCTCTGTAGGAAGGAACATAGTTGTGGAGATATGACTTTTCTAGTATCTTTGGTAGAAAAGGCAGGTTTGAAATGGAATTTCAATGGAATTGAAATGAATTTACTAATTCTTAGGGATCAAGCTGTGTTTTTTTAAATAAGAGGCTTAATGACAGCTAGTGTAAAAGTTTTAGGAACATATCCTTAAAGTAGAGATAAATTCAGAACATTAAGCACAAGTTCAGAAACTTCTGAAAACAATTGTTTTAATAATAGCACAGATTTTGATGAATTTATCAGTTTAGACAGTTCCTCCTCACATACTGCTGAAATATTATTAAAAAACATGGAGTTAGCTTGCTGATGATACACAACTATCTCCTCTCAACCTGATAATTTGTATGAATTTAAGAAATTAACAGATTGTATAGGTGATTTTAAAAATTGGATGACTAATAACTTCTTATAACTAAATTCAGATAATACTGAGGTCTTGCTTATTGGACCCAAAAACCTCACCTGCAAAAACCTAGAACACTATTTAACCCTTGATGGATTCTAGTTCAGTCTTCATCTTTGGTCAAAAATTTGGAGGTGATTTTTGATACAGCCTGTCGTTTGAAGGCCAGATTTCAAGCATCTGTAAAACTGCATTTTTTCACCCTAAAAATGTTGCCAAACTTCGAAATATGCTATTATTGTCTAATGCAGAAACGCTTATTCATGCTTTCATGACTTCTCGGTTAGACTATTGTAATGTGTTAGTAAGCGGCTGCCCTATTGGTTTAATTAACAAACTTCAGCTAGTTCAAAATGCAGCTGCTAGAGTGCTTTCTAGAACAAAGAAAAATGATCATATTACTCCAGTGCTTTCATCGTTGCATTGGCTCCCTATTAAATATTGTATACATTTTTACATTTTATTGACTACTATACAAAGCCCTGAACGGCTATGGCTTATCTCCCCAGTATTTGAGGGAGCTCCTGGTGTACTATAACCCCTCATGTCCACTATGCTCAGTTAATTCTGGACAACTGATTATTCCCAAAATATCAAAATCAACTGTAGGCGGTCTCTTTCTCAAATCTGGAACCTAAACTTTGGAACAGCCTTCCTAGCACAATTCTTGAAGCAGACAGACTTTGTCATTTTTAAACTAGATTAAAAACACATCTCTTTGCATTAGCATACACATAAGACACAAATGCTTTTGAAATCCAAATCCTCAATGACAAAGGGCAAAAGGTTGCTGAAGAACTACTGAGAGATTTCAGCTGCTGTCTGGGCTTTCACCTAGAATGGCAGAGAAAGCCCAGACAGCAGCTGAAATCTCTCAGTAGTTCTTCAGCAATCCTCTGCCCATCATCATTGTAAATTAATATTAGCTGCTTCATTTTAACATCTACATGAAAATGAGACCAGAATGGACATTTTAGCAAGACAATGATGCGAAACACAGCCAAGAAAATTCTCAAATGCTTTAAGAGAAAAAAAATCAAGCTGTATATATATACACCTAGGTGTATATATATATATATCTATATATACACCTATCTAACCCCACCAATCCTACACCAATCCAATCCTTCGAGCTGGGATCAAACTGGCAACTTTCTGCATGAAGTCGGTTGCTCTAACAAGTCTAAAGACCATGGCCTCTAGCGTCTGTCGCTAAAGCACCTTTTTGGGTTCAGAGGAGTGAGGTTTACTTGCACAGCACTTCACTAGCTGGCCTCTGTTACACATGTTAATATTTTAGAGCTATTACTCAAATGACTATTTCATGAATGATGCTTAATGATGTCAGCAATGAACTCCCAGTGTTGTCAAGAATACTTAAAAACTGACTGAACAAAACAGTGATAAAACACAAGGGGGATTCCTGCTCTGAGAGCTGAAACCAAAGGTCTATGTACTGTATGTGTTGAACTCCACTGCATCTTCTGATAAATGTTCCCGCCCATAGGATCTAACACGGGGAACACACCCTGGTCCTATCACAAACAGTTACTGATTCACTAAAACTGGTTTTGCAATAAGCCATGTAAAATAATATTCATGAAAGTGATAAAAACTGATACACACCTCCACATGCCCTGCCTAACTGACCATGCAACCGACCCTTTATAAACTCATGAAGCGTTCTCACCCATGTCTTAGTCAACCTAACACCATCCATTAATCCAGACATGGGACGTCTGGAGTTAATACTAGTTTTAATATGGATAACAGGTTGCTTTACCATTGAAGACAACAAAAACAGGTGAGATTCTCATAATTGAATCAGTAATTCGGCATTGTATATGAACAGTAATGTGGATTTCAATCTTCTATTGAGAGTCAGATTTAGTCAATTATCTGATGTACTGTACTGGCTGAAGAATGTACATATTCTAATCAATTATGTTTGTATAATATGCAAATTCCTATTATATGCAAATGCATTTATAATAATAATATTATATAATATATAATTCATAATATTAATCTATCTACACCAAGTATATGATTTATTAAGTACTGAATACAATAATTATTAGTGTAATTTAAGTAGAGCCGCATGTTTCTAAAAATAACTTACATTTGAGACATTTAGAGTGTTAGAAGGTGAGGCAGTGGCGCAGTAGGTAGTGCTGTCGCCTCACAGCAAGAAGGTTGCTGGGCTGCTGGTTTGAACCTCGGCTCAGTTGGTGTTTCTGTGTGGAGTTTGCATGTTCTCTCTGCCTTCGTGTGGGTTTCCTCCGGGTGCTCCGGTTTCCCCCACAGTCCAAAGACATGTGGTACAGGTGAATTGGGTAGGCTAAATTGTCTGTAGTGTGTGTGTGGCTGTTTCCCAGAGATAGGTTGCGGCTGGAAGGGCATCCGCTGCGTAAAAACTTGCTGGATAAGTTGGCGGTTCATTCCACTGTGGTGACCCCGGATTAATAAAGGGACTAAGCTGACAAGAGAATTAATGTTAGAATGTAAAATATTTAGATTGTAAAACGTAAAAAGTTTAGCTGTTTCTCAATTATATTCACAGCACTGATGAATTATCAAAGCATAATAGTTCCTTCTGTACATGTCTTATTTAAATGTAATTAAACATTTAACATCTAATTTAAAAAAGCAACTTTGATCTTACACTGTGATAATCTGATAATTATGATGGAAACAGCTGATAAATGCTACAGCGATGACTGCTATTATGTAATTGAATTACTCCACTTTTATGTCTTTGTAGATAAGAAATTCTTGAAGGATTTTGCAGCTATTTAAATCTTTTAAAAGGAAATAAATGTTTTAAAATTTTTATTTTTGTGTGTTTTTATAGACATGACGTGACAGAGAGAAATGCTGGTAAGTAAATGAAATTTATCATAAGCGCAATGATTAACTAGGGAATTCCAACCATTGCAATTTTTTCTGACTTTATTCATTTCATTCTTTTTTTAATATTCAAGAACTTTTAAATATAAATAAAAAACTACAATATAATTTTTGATATTTTTCCAATTACTATCTTATCCTACAAAACTGCAAATTTGATTAAGTCCATTTATACTAAAGAATATTGTGCAGAGACTTTGAACTGTTGCAAAAAAAAAAAAAAGCTTTGCACAGCACAAAATGTTCGCACATGCATGCAATCAAGCAAAGACACATATGATTACAAAGTGACATGGAAACTGGTTGTAAATGGGTGGAGTACAGTAGGCCCCCATAAAGCATATCTAAGGTCCATGTCCATTACTAACACATTATAAACATAAAGAACATTTATGGCATGTAACACAGGATCAATACACCACTTTTACTTGTTCCTCATTTTAGGACTGCTTTTGATTTTAAGTGAAGTTTATTCAAAGACTAATTTTGAGAGGATCACTTGCTTATGATTAACCACAGCTCGTCCTGTATTAGCAACGCATGCTTTCACCAATCGGATGAGTCCTAACTCACTATAAATAATCAGTTTCTTACCTTGGTTATCTTTGTCTTGAAGAATCCCCACTTACACCGCCCTACTGCTCCCTTCTTTTCTTGACAGGGTGGCATGGCAGCACAGTGGTTAGCACTGTTGCCTCATAGCATAAATGTCATTGGTTCAAATTCTTACTCGACCATTAGATGTTTTTGTGTGGAGTTTACATGTTCTCCCTGTGCCCATGTGGGTTTCCCCCGGGTTCTCCGGTTTCCTCCTACAATCCAAAAACATGCGTAATAGATAAACTGACCAAACCAAATTGGCACCGTTTATGAGCTCTTAATCAGCAATTCCTAATTGCCATTAGCCATAAAATAAGCTCAAACTCCCCTTTTGCCTTACAAACGAGAGTGAGACCCAGGCTCAAGGATCTTATGAGCTCAGGGCTCTCTAGGAACAGTATGCCAAACATGGTATATAATCAATCATTATAGCGAATCGTGAACTCTTGAAATAAGTAATCTAAAATCAGAATTCTTAGTATAATCAATTCTAGGCAACGAAAAACATAAATGTCTCATGAAATATCTGTCTTTCAAACAGTGCTGGCCTCCTGCGACTTCAACGATAATGACGACCCTTTCTGCAACTTTCAACAAGACACAGCAGATAATGGTGACTGGACACGACATTATGGACCAACTCCAAGCCAAGGCACTGGACCTGATGGAGACTATCCAGATGGAAGTGAGTATAAGTGCCAAATAACAAATCACAGTCAAAATGTACATTCACTGTCCAAAGACATGCAGCATAACGTGTTTCAGGTAACCTATGTGAACACTTTTTGCTAATTTCCATTCTCTCATTGATTGTAAACCAAACAATTCTCTGCCATAGATGGGTATTACATATACCATGAGGCTGACAACAATATAAATGGACAGAAAGTACGCCTTCTCAGCCCAACCATAACAAATGGACCTGCAGAGATCTGTGTACAGTTTGTTTACTTCATGTATGGTGTTGATCATACTAACACTTTGACTGTGCTGGCCAAACGACCTGGCTCTGAGGAACAACTGTGGCAAAAAATTGGCATACAGAGCCGGTCATGGCTTAGAGCTTCCATCACAGTGCCCATACCAGCCGGACAGACTGCTCAGGTAAGCATAAAGCTTTAACGTTTGAAATTAAAGACATACTCTGTATGTTTACCGTTCTGTAAATCATAACTCATGACTGAGTACACTCCCTTCAAAGCTGTCAAAGTATCATGGTCAATTTTCCTAAAATCCCTGACAACACTGATTTAGAAGTTTGTGATGACAGAATAAATTTAGTGACTCCAGCAGTCAGTTTTAATGTCATTTTTTTTTTTTTTTTTTTTTGCTTTTAGATTGTGTTTCAAGCAATGCGCGGGGAGTCTCCATTTTGTGATACTGCTTTGGATAACATTGTGATCAGCGAGGGAGCCTGTGCTGGTACTTTATACTACCTTTATTACATTACAAAGATACACAATACATAGTAGAATGATTTTGTATATAATGTTGCATTTGTTTTTATACAGGCTGTATTGCAGGGTGTGATTTTGATGATGATAATTCCTACTGTGGCTGGACAAATGAGGTATCTGATGATGCAATCTTTGGTTGGGAGCACTGGACCGGACAGACAGATACACCAGACACTGGTCCTGATGATGACTTTTCCAAACCAGGATGTAAGTCCAGCATTTCACCCTGTCCTTTGATCTAGATAATGATTTTAGTGCTGCTTTTATCTTAACAGTCACTATATTGTCAAACTGTTTTCAGTGGGGTCGTACCTGTTATTGGATTCCAGCTTTAGTATCGAAGGGGAATCTGCTCAGCTCTGGAGCCCTTCCACATCAATCTCTGGTTGCCTACAGCTGGACTTTCATTATTACATGTACGGTAGTGCTGCCAACATGGAGCTTAATGTCCATGCAGTCACAGCTGGTAAGATTCACAAGTCTTGGATTTAAAGTTGCTCTTTGGTGTTGAAGTTTAAAGTCTGTAAGTTCAAAGGCCAATATTATGTTTTAGGTGGGGCACTTGGAGTCCCAATTTTCAGTCTCAAAGGAAACCAAGGTCAAAGCTGGAAACTCGCAAGTGTTCGCTACACTGGTACACCTGGTACAGTGCAGGTCAGTTGTATTCTATGATTTGCAAATGATGCTTGAGCTTTGACAATGACCAACAAAATAATAAAGCAATTACAATTTTCATAAATGTTGTAAACAAGTTGCATGTTTACACTATAATTCATATTTCATTTCAGTTCGTAATTGTAGGCGTTTATGGTGAAACAGTCCAGACAGATATTGCAATTGATAGCGTCTGCATTACCACATGTATGGGTAAGTATCAAAATCTAGATGCACTTATTGTCATATAATACATCGTTCAAAGATAATACAGTGGTTTATTGATTGGTTTCATGTTTTATTTTAGTAACCCCAACAACACCTAAGCCATCCCCACCACAACCCACTACACCTAAACCAACAACGCAGAGTCCATCAACTCCAAAACCATCCACACCCCAGCCCACTCCACCTAAACCAACAACACAGAGTCCATCAACACCAAAACCATCCTCACCACAACCCACTACACCTAAACCAACAACGCAGAGTCCATCAACTCCAAAACCATCCACACCCCAGCCCACTACACCTAAACCAACAACACAGAGTCCATCAACACCAAAACCATCCACACCCCAGCCCACTACACCTAAACCAACAACACAGAGTCCATCAACACCAAAACCATCCACACCCCAGCCCACTACACCTAAACCAACAACACAGAGTCCATCAACACCAAAACCATCCACAACCCAGCCCACTACACCTAAACCAACAACACAGAGTCCATCAACACCAAAACCATCCACACCCCAGCCCACTACACCTAAACCAACAACACAGAGTCCATCAACACCAAAACCATCTACACCTCAGCCTACTACACCTAAACCAACAACACAGAGTCCATCAACTCCAAAACCATCTACAGCCCAGCCCACTACACCTAAACCAACAACACAGAGTCCATCAACACCAAAACCCACAACGCCCAAGCCAACAACCCCAAAGCCAACACCACCAGGTAAGTTTGTTAGTTTTTATATTTTCTGCAGAGAAGTTTTTAAAAATAATTTAATGTATAGATAAACAGTCCTTAATGTCTTCCAACAGTGAACTGCCCTCCAGACTCAGAGTACATTGAGTGCGGCCCAGCCTGTATTCCTAGCTGTGCAGAACCTTCCACCAACTGCTCTGGTTCTTGCATCAGTGGCTGCTTCTGTAAACCAGGCTTTGTTTTCCGTGGCCGGCGTTGTGTTCCTATTGAGCAGTGTGGATGTCTGGATGATGACAACAATTACTTTGAGGTACAAGAGTTATCATTCTTGTGATGCTGCACTTTTATCCAGTTCTGGGAAGTCAGACTTCTAAACTTTGCTTTGTATTTACTCTCAGCCTGGCGAGATCATCTTTGGAAATGGCTGTTCAAAGTTGTGTCGCTGTGCCGGCAACTACACTTTCGACTGTGTGGACAACACCTGTGACCCTGTGACTGAAGAATGTCGGGAGGTTGGTGGAGTGCACGGCTGCTATCCTAAAGGTAAAAACAAACAACTCTTAATACAAAGGACATTGCCAGTCAAAGATAACTGTTTTATTTGACACAAAGGTATTTTTCACTCATAGGAACCTCTACCTGCATCGCTTCTGGTGACCCCCATTACACCACCTTTGACAAGCGAAACTACGACTTCATGGGAAACTGTTCTTACCTGATGTCTGAACCCTGTAACAGCACAGATGTGCCTTACTTTGCCGTATACACAGACAATGAGAATCGCTACAACAATCTTCATATCAGCTATGTAAAAGCAGTTCATGTTCATGCATTGGGAGTGAAAGTGTCTATTCTAAAAGGAGGAACTGTGCAGGTAAAAGAAAGGAACAAAATTTGCAATGTAATAATTAAGGAGTTATTCTCTTTTTGATATAAGCAGTTAAGCGAGGCACATTCAAATGAGCAACTGTCTACTTTTTCTCAGGTTAACGGTACCAATGTCAACATTCCTCTGAGTCCTGTTGCTGGTGTAGATATTTTTATGTCTGGCAAGCACTACACAGTGGCCTTGAACTTTGGAGTCACAGTTCGTTATGATGGAAACCACCATATGGACATTAAAGTTATCAAGGAGTGAGTTTGATTCTTAGACAAGTCTTAGAACTTTTATAAACTGATTCACCTTTAAATGTCTCCGTGCTTGTGTTCGTTCTACAGTTATGAGGACAAACTCTGTGGACTGTGTGGAGACTACAACGGAGACCCTCAGGATGACTTCCAGACCCCAACTGGGGAACTGGTCCAAAGCCCCAGTGACTTTGGTCACAGCTGGAACACAGACCCTGAGTAAGGCCCAGTATTCAACGCATTCAATTTAACATCTAAAATAATTACTTAAAGATGACTTACCTTTAATTCTGTCTTTCAGCTGTAACAAGCCAGAGGTCGGCCCAAATCCAGGATGTACAGATGCTGAACAGGAGTTGTACGAAGGTCCTGCTTACTGTGGCATCATATTGGACAACAAAGGACCATTTGCTGTTTGCCATCCAAAAGTCAACCCCAATGTGAGAAAAGAAGTTCATTTGTTTTAGTTCATAATTTTAACTATGCAACAGATACTTACAGATCATAATCTCATGTGTGTATAGGGTTACTTCCAAAACTGTCTGTTTGATGTGTGTGAACTGGACGGAGCTCATTCAGCATTGTGTGAAGCAATAGAGTCGTACGTCAATGAATGTCAGGACCGCGGAGTCACAATTGGACCCTGGAGAAACAGCACCTTCTGTCGTAAGTCTGAAATAATAAAAATACATATTGTAATTTTACAAATTGTTTAAATAAATCATTAAAGTCACTTAATTATTACATATTCTTCTTCTTCAGCTCTGAAATGCCCACCCAACAGCCATTTTGAATCATGCGCCCCAGTTTGCCAGCCTTCCTGTAAGCCAATTCCACCAGGTCAGTGCACTGGACCTTGTTCTGAAGGATGTGTTTGTGACCCAGGTTACATCCTCAGTGCTGGCCAGTGTGTGAAGGAAAACACATGTGGCTGCAGCTATAATGGACATTATTATAAGGTGAGGAAAACATGTGTTATGAACCATGGTTTGTTAGTCAGTTAACTAGTATTTGTAATCAAACTAACACTGTGTTTCCTCTTTACGTGGATTTAGCCAGGTGAAGAGTTCTACACTAAAGACTGTGATCTGCTGTGTAAGTGTGATCCTCCATTTGTTACCTGTAATGCTGCTGACTGCCCACCAATGGAACAATGCGATGTACAGGGCGGTATAACTGGGTGCTACCCATTAGGTGAGAACTTTTATTTTTTGCACACATTACATAAAATATTACATTGCCCATATTCAACTTTAACTCTTTTCTTTATCTCTGTTCTTTCTAACCAGGATCTCAAGACTGCATCATCTCTGGTGATCCTCATTACAATACATTTGATGGCAAATTTTACAGCTACATGGGCACTTGCACATACACATTGGCTCGCACCTGTAAAAACAACACTGGTAGGTTATGGCCAAAACAAAGTATTAAAACAAATCACAATTTTCTGATTAAAGCAGTTTGGTTATTAGTTTATGTTTGTTCACTTTAATAAACCTCTATAGATTTAAGAGATAATTATCTGCCTTTTAAAAAACAACTCTCTCTGTTCTACAGGCCCCTGGTTCTCCATAGAGGGTAAAAACGAAGAGAGAGGAGTCTCTGGCGTTTCCTACCTGAGAAAACTGTATGTGACTGTTGACGGTATCACTGTGACAATGATGAAAAACCAGAGGACGTTGGTCAGTATTCACAGCCACTCTTATGAACTAATTATCACCAGTAAAACCCCACTTTTAAAGGAAAATAACTAAAATTCATAGTCCTTCCATCTTTTTAGGTGTAGCATTAGCCTTTAATCCACTTCTTTTCCACACAAACAGGTGAATGGACTCAGGGTGACTCTGCCTCACTCTCCATCCTCACTCATTTCTCTGTCTCTTGCTGGACAATATGTAATCCTTACAACTCCCTTTGGCCTAAAAGTGCAATGGGATGGCAACCATTATGCCAAGATCTCTGTTCCCAGGTACTGAAACTTTGAAAACAGTCTCTTATATGAATCACTATTAACCAAAGCATTTGGGAGAAAAACTTAAGACCCACATTGATTTTTTAAGGGTTACATGTCTTGAGTAAATTCTTCAAAAAGCATCTCTGGGGAAATGAATCTCTTTACATTAATCTCTTTCTTATTTATTTTTTCAGCTCCTACTATGACCAGATGTGTGGACTGTGTGGGGACTATGATGGAAACCCCAATAATGACTTCACTAAGCCAGATGGCACCCAAGTTGACAGCTCAAAACTGTTTGGCGACAGCTGGCAAACTAAGGAAGATGAGGACGCAACGTCAGTATCTTTTACTCTTCTTCATTTTATCAACAGTAGAAATAGAGCAATGATTGAGGATTAGGTTGACTTCATATGTTTGATGACGATGTTGTGCTTTTAGGTGTAAGCCTGACCCTGGACCCCAACCACCCTGTGATCCTGTGCTGGAGGGTGAGGTGTCAAAACCGGAGAACTGTGGGAAAATAACTGACACAAATGGACCATTTAGGTTAGAACATGAAACAACACTTTTCAAAATACTGATTATAAAAAATGTTGAATCCTTTCATCTAAAATGAAGTATCATGGTTCATAAAATATTAATGTTCTATTCTTCATACTCTTTCTAACATGACACATCAAAACACTTGTAGTGCTAATTTACTGAACTCTTTCTCTTACATTTGCTCCTCACAGAGACTGTATCAAGGTGGTGAACCCGTTGCCTTTCTTCCAGAGCTGTGTGTTTGATATGTGCCGCTATCAGGGGTTGCAGCAGGTTCTTTGTGATCAGCTTCAGTCCTACACTGATGCTTGCCTGAGTGCAGGTGCTCCTGTCCATCAGTGGAGAGAGCCAGACTTCTGCCGTAAGTCTAACCTGCCTATATTGAGTCACATTGCATATGGAGTTTAATGTTTTAAACAGACGACAAAGCAGTAATGTGTGGCAAGTCTTACAATGTCCATGCAAGACTTACATTCCTAATGACAAAACAGTTTTCAACTTTCATAACATAGAAATGTAAAGAACTCAACTGAACAGGTTAGAATAGCAAAGCTAAACTTTTTATCATTTAATGGCATTTGCTCTCATTTTTCCTACAGCTCTGGTATGTCCTCCAAACAGCCACTACTCCATGTGTGTAAGCTCCTGCCCAGAGACCTGTCTGGGTATCAATGGACCACCGGGCTGCAGTGAAAAGTGTGTAGAGGGATGTGAATGTGACCCCGGCTTCATCCTCAGTGGCAACAAATGTGTTCCTGTTAAAGACTGTGGCTGTGTGGATTCTTCAGGCTCCTACCATCCAGTGAGTTTAACACTGGGGCCAACTCTTGAGCCTCTTGCACTGTAGAATACATGTTTAAAATGGTATATGATCAATCTTTGATTTAAACAATGGAACCATGATGAACTATATTCATTTCAATGTGGTGATGTTTAGGTTAACGAGAGCTGGTATCTGGAGGGCTGTAAGCAGAAGTGCACTTGTGAGGGAGGAGGATCTATTAAGTGTTATGACACTAGCTGTCTTCCTGATGAAACCTGCCAACTTCAAGATGGAGACTACATCTGCAAACCAAGTGGTAGGTTGTAGTACTAGTTATGCATGTTTAGAGAACATGCAGTTTAGTAGTTTAAAAAGTTTACTTGTCATATCATAAATATACAGAGTACATGGTACTATTTTTAAACCAACTCCAGAGTGTGTAAAGTTCTTCAACTATTCCACATTTTGTTTTATCTCTGTCCCTCAGTATTTTGTTTGGTAATAAATTACACAAATTCATAGGCATTCATGTCTTCCAACAGTGAACTGCCCTCCAGACTCAGAGTACATTGAGTGCGGCCCAGCCTGTATTCCTAGCTGTGCAGAACCTTCCACCAACTGCTCTGGTTCTTGCATCAGTGGCTGCTTCTGTAAACCAGGCTTTGTTTTCCGTGGCCGGCGTTGTGTTCCTATTGAGCAGTGTGGATGTCTGGATGATGACAACAATTACTTTGAGGTACAAGAGTAATCATTCTTGTGATGCTGCACTTTAATCCAGTTCTGGGAAGTCAGACTTCTAAACTTTGCTTTGTATTTACTCTCAGCCTGGCGAGATCATATTTGGAAACGGCTGTTCAAAGTTGTGTCGCTGTGCCGGCAACTACACTTTCGACTGTGTGGACAACACCTGTGACCCTGTGACTGAAGAATGTCGGGAGGTTGGTGGAGTGCACGGCTGCTATCCTAAAGGTATTGTACAAAACTCCCATGATCTACAAATACTATATCTGATATGAGAGAAAGGTAGCAATGCTCAAAATCCAGCATGTCTGCATGAGAATCAAGAACACTGGTGGATCTGCTAAACCAGTCCAAACTTGATTGAACACAACACTAAAACGTTGCTGGTCCGCAAGCAAAACCAACAATAAAATACAAGCTATAACAAGCATTGAGCTACATGGAATTAATGTTGGTTCAATATCAAATAAATATGAATTATTTACTTTTTAATAGTTGCATCATAGCTCGTATATACCCAAACACAAGCAATTTTATATGATCTCCTATATTCAGTATTTTAGTTGGAATTTATTTTATTTACACAAAAATATTTTTTCACTCATAGGAACCTCTACCTGCATCGCTTCTGGTGACCCCCATTACACCACTTTTGATAAGCGGCGCTACGACTTCATGGGAAACTGTTCTTACCTGATGTCTGAACCCTGTAACAGCACAGACGTGCCTTACTTTGCCGTATACACAGACAATGAGAATCGCTACAACAATCTTCATATCAGCTATGTAAAAGCAGTTCATGTTCATGCACTGGGAGTGAAAGTGTCTATTCTGAAAGGAGGAACTGTGCAGGTAAAAGAATTCAACAAAAGTTATGATGTTTCTATTAAGGAATTATTAATTCTTCATATGTAAAGTGTTATATCAATGCATTTAGGGTATTCATATTTAGTAGCACATTCAAATGAGCAACTGTCTACTTTTTCTCAGGTTAACGGTACCAATGTCAACATTCCTCTGAGTCCTGTTGCTGGTGTAGATATTTTTATGTCCGGCAAGCACTACACAGTGGCCTTGAACTTTGGAGTCACAGTTCGTTATGATGGAAACCACCATATGGACATTAAAGTTATCAAGGAGTGAGTTTGATTCTTAGACAAGTCTTAGAACTTTTTTAACTGATTCACCTTTAAATGTTTCTGTGCTTGTGATCATTCTACAGTTATGAGGACAAACTCTGTGGACTGTGTGGAGACTACAACGGAGACCCTCAGGATGACTTCCAGACCCCAACTGGGGAACTGGTCCAAAGCCCTAGTGACTTTGGTCACAGCTGGAACACAGACCCTAAGTAAGGCACCATTCAATTCACTTAGTTTCATATCTAAAATGGTTATGCTTTCTGTTAAATCACATCATAGATAACTTACCTTCAATTCTGTCTTTCAGCTGTAACAAGCCAGAGGTCGGCCCAAATCCAGGATGTACAGATGCTGAACAGGAGTTGTACGAAGGTCCTGCTTACTGTGGCATCATATTGGACAACAAAGGACCATTTGCTGTTTGCCATCCAAAAGTCAACCCCAATGTGAGAAAATGACTTAATTTGTTTTAGTTCATAATTTTAACTATGCAACAGATACTTACAGATCATAATCTCATGTGTGTATAGGGTTACTTCCAAAACTGTTTGTTTGATGTGTGTGAACTGGACGGAGCTCATTCAGCATTGTGTGAAGCAATAGAGTCGTACGTCAATGAATGTCAGGACCGTGGCGTCACAATTGGACCCTGGAGAAACAGCACCTTCTGTCGTAAGTCTGAAATAAGATATGTCTCAACCATAAACTTTAAGTAATGAAATGAACCGCTTGTCTTGTGTCTCTCTAACCATTTTACAATGATGTGCCACTAACAAACTTTCTCCTCTTCTTCAGCTCTGAAATGCCCACCCAATAGTCACTATGATTCATGCGCCCCAGTTTGCCAGCCTTCCTGTACGCCAATTCCACCAAGTCAGTGCACCGGACCATGTTCTGAAGGATGTGTTTGTGACCCAGGATACATCCTCAGTGCTGGCCAGTGTGTGAAAGAAGACACGTGTGGCTGCAGCTATAATGGAAATTATTATAAGGTGAAGAAAACCTATAAAACAACAAATTTATTATAATATTGAACTATGGTTTGTTACACTCGGAACTAGAGTTTTTCATCAAACTAACATGGCATTTCCTTTCTGCATGGATTTAGCCAGGTGAAGAGTTCTACACTAAAGACTGTGAGCTACGGTGTAAGTGTGATCCCCCCGGCCTTACTTGTAACACTTCTAGCTGCTCACCAATGGAACAATGTGATGTACAGGGTGGCATAATTGGCTGTTACCCATTAGGTAAGCACTCTATTTCATTTATTAAAATGACATGCAAATAGGTCTAAGCATCACAGAAATGCTTTAACTATACACATAATTCGTTATTCATTATACAATATACTATTTGGGGAAATACTATAGCAAATGTTAAAAATGTAATTTCTCAATCCCTCAGGATCTGAAGACTGTGTCATCTCTGGTGATCCACATTACACAACATTTGATGGCAAATACTACAGTTACATGGGCACTTGCACCTACACACTGGCCCGCACCTGCAAAAACAACACCCGTAAGTACATGCCCTGAAAAAAATAGAAAGATCTGCAGTTAACAATGAGTTTACTGTGCTTTGGTATTGGCTGTTGTTGGGAATCACACCAAAAATTCTACTTGATTCACTGTACATAAGACCATAACTTAAAACAGAGATTAAAGAATTACAGATCTTTAAAATAACAACACTTTTGCCTCTCTTTTGGGTCTACAGGCCCCTGGTTCTCTATAGAGGGAAAGAATGAAGAGAGGGGAGCCTCTGGCGTTTCTTACCTGAGGAAACTGTACGTGACTGTTGACGGTATCACTGTGACAATGATGAAAGACAGAACAACACTGGTCAGTATCCACAGAAATTATAATCATTAAATTCTGTAATTTTTGATATAAGGAATTAGGATTTAAAGCCAACAGTCAAATACTATATTAAAATGTCCAAGACTCACGAAACTGGTATAAATGTTCTCAAAAATAACTTCTTCAGACTGTTCTTAATATGCTCATAATCCCATTTGCCTATCTAATTTTCAGTATTCCAGTAAAAATCTTAGCTTTTAAGCAAAAGAACAAAATCGCACAGTTCCTTCTTTTCAGAGGTTGTTAGTCTTTAATCCACTTCTCATTTCCACACATACAGGTGAATGGACTCAGGGTGACTCTGCCTCACTCTCCATCTCCACTCATTTCTCTGTCTCTTGCTGGACAATATGTAATCCTTACAACTCCATTCGGCCTAAAAGTGCAGTGGGATGGCAACCATTATGCCAAGATCTCCGTTCCGAGGTATTAAAGCTCTGAAAAAAGCCTCCACCAAACATACGCATGACTTTGTTTTTAGGTGTTTGGCAGGAAACTCCAAAACCAAAATCTTCACATTAAACTCTCAATGATCTATTCATATTGAATTTTTCAGCTCCTACTACGACCAGATGTGTGGACTGTGTGGAGACTATGATGGAAACCCCAATAATGACTTTACTAAGCCAGATGGAAACCAAACCAACAGCTCAAATCAGTTTGGTGACAGCTGGAAAACTGATGACGATGAGGACGCAACGTCAGTATCTTTTACTCTTCTTCATTTTATCAACAGTAGAAATAGAGCAATGATTGAGGATTAGGTTGACTTCATAAGCTTGATGAAGATGTTGTGCTTTTAGGTGCAAGCCTGACCCTGGACCCCAACCACCCTGTGATCCTGTGCTGGAGGGTGAGGTGTCAAAACCTGAGAACTGTGGGAAAATAACTGACACAAATGGACCATTTAGGTTAGACATACTAAATCTCCAAATACGTATTACAAAAATCTTGAATTCCTCCTCCTAAATTGTATAAGCTTGGGTTTCAAGCTTTGTTTTTAACATTATAGAATTACTAACAGTTGCTAATTTACTGAACTCTTTCTCTTACATTTGCTCCTCACAGAGACTGTATCAAGGTGGTGAACCCGTTGCCTTTCTTCCAGAGCTGTGTGTTTGATATGTGCCGTTATCAGGGGTTGCAGCAGGTTCTTTGTGATCAGCTTCAGGCCTACACTGATGCTTGCCTGAGTGCAGGTGCTCCTGTCCATCAGTGGAGGGAGCCAGACTTCTGCCGTGAGTCAAATTCTCCTGTGTAACGTTGCATAGCAAAGTATAACATTTATAAATAAAGCAGGGAAATCTGGCAACCTACATCCAAGCAGGAATCACATTCCCAATGACAAAACTCTTTTCAGCTCTCTTCAATGTACAATATAAATTATTGAAAGGAACAGAGAGTTTAGATTAACAAAGTTATATTTGTGTGAGGATTATCGTCATTATGTGTATTATTCATGGGGCTTTAATGGTCAGAGTGGGTAAAACAGAAAAGTCTTCACAAAGGGATGGGATCATGGGACTTGAAAACTACATGCTCTAAAATGTGTCCCCGCTTAATTTTTAGTTTCACCACACTTTAATATTATTTATAATTTTTTCTATAGCTCTGGTATAAATAATTGTGTATTATTTTTTCCTACAGCTTTGGTATGTCCTCCAAACAGCCACTACTCCATGTGTGTAAGCTCCTGTCCAGAGACCTGTCTGGGCATCAATGGACCACCGGGCTGCAGTGAAAAGTGTGTAGAGGGATGTGAATGTGACCCCGGCTTCATCCTCAGTGGCAACAAATGTGTCCCTGTTAAAGACTGTGGCTGTGTGGACTCTTCAGGCTCCTACCATCCAGTGAGTTTAACACCAGGGCCGACTTGTTGGCCTCTTACTCTGTAGAAGAGATGATTAAAATGGGAATAGATCGAACTTTGATTTAAACAATGAAACCATTATGAACGACATTAATTTTAACGTGGTGATGTGTAGGTGAACGAGAGCTGGTATCTGGAGGGTTGTAAGCAGAAGTGCACTTGTGAAGGAGGAGGATCTATAAAGTGTTATGACACTAGCTGTCTTCCTGATGAAAGCTGCCAACTTCAAGATGGAGACTACATCTGCAAACCAATTGGTAACAATTTTATTTTGTATTGGTTGTGCATTAGTTTATACATGATAAAATTTTGAGCAGTTGTGGCACAATCTTTCTGGAATTTATTACTTCATTTTTTTACCATTGTCTTTAGATATTTGAAAAATATGTCTTTGGCGGCCCTCATTATCTTTATCAACATACCACATGAATTAATTTGGCATCTGTTCCAACATGTTTATTTAGATAAACAACCTTTAATGTCTTCCAACAGTGAACTGCCCTCCAGACTCAGAGTACATTGAGTGCGGCCCAGCCTGTATTCCTAGCTGTGCAGAACCTTCCACCAACTGCTCTGGTTCTTGCATCAGTGGCTGCTTCTGTAAACCAGGCTTTGTTTTCCGTGGCCGGCGTTGTGTTCCTATTGAGCAGTGTGGATGTCTGGATGATGACAACAATTACTTTGAGGTACAAGAGTAATCATTCTTGTGATGCTGCACTTTTATCCAGTTCTGGGAAGTCAGACTTCTAAACTTTGCTTTGTATTTACTCTCAGCCTGGCGAGATCATCTTTGGAAATGGCTGTTCAAAGTTGTGTCGCTGTGCCGGCAACTACACTTTCGACTGTGTGGACAACACCTGTGACCCTGTGACTGAAGAATGTCGGGAGGTTGGTGGAGTGCACGGCTGCTATCCTAAAGGTATTGCACAAAACTTTTAACTCGTAATACAAAAGATATTTATAGTCAGGTTTAAATGTATTATTTGACACAAAGGTATTTTTCACTCATAGGAACCTCTACCTGCATTGCCTCTGGTGACCCACATTACACCACTTTTGACAAGCGAAACTACGACTTCATGGGAAACTGTTCTTACCTGATGTCGGAACGTTGTAACAGCACAGACGTGCCTTACTTTGCCGTATACACAGACAATGAGAATCGCTACAACAATCTTCATATCAGCTATGTAAAAGCAGTTCATGTTCATGCACTGGGAGTGAAAGTGTCTATTCTGAAAGGAGGAACTGTGCAGGTAAATATACTATCATGTAGACAATGATCTTATTATAGATATCATTTGTGCACCTGATTTAGTGGCACATTCAAACAAACAATTATGTTTGCTTTTTCTCAGGTTAACGGTACTAATGTCAACATTCCTCTGAGTCCTGTTGCTGGTGTAGATATTTTTATGTCTGGCAAGCACTACACAGTGGCCTTGAACTTTGGTGTCACAGTTCGTTATGATGGAAACCACCATATGGACATTAAAGTTATCAAGGAGTGAGTTTGATTCTTAGACAAGTCTTAGAACTTTTTTAACTGATTCACCTTTAAATGTTTCTGTGCTTGTGATCGTTCTACAGTTATGAGGACAAACTCTGTGGACTGTGTGGAGATTACAACGGAGACCCTCAGGATGACTTCCAGACCCCAACTGGGGAACTGGTCCAAAGCCCCAGTGACTTTGGTCACAGCTGGAACACAGACCCTAAGTAAGGCACCATTCAATTCAATTAATTTTATATCTAAAATGATTATTCATAGATAACTAACCTTTAATTCTGTCTTTCAGCTGTAACAAGCCAGAGGTCGGCCCAAATCCAGGATGTACAGATGCTGAACAGGAGTTGTACGAAGGTCCTGCTTACTGTGGCATCATATTGGACAACAAAGGACCATTTGCTGTTTGCCATCCAAAAGTCAACCCCAATGTGAGAAAATGAGTTCATTTGTTTTAGTTCATAATTTTAACTATGCAACAGATACTTACAGATCATAATCTCATGTGTGTATAGGGTTACTTCCAAAACTGTCTGTTTGATGTGTGTGAGCTGGACGGAGCTCATTCAGCATTGTGTGAAGCAATAGAGTCGTACGTCAATGAATGTCAGGACCGTGGCGTCACAATTGGACCCTGGAGAAACAGCACCTTCTGTCGTAAGTCTAATAAATACATAGCAATTAAAACTCAATTAAAACCATTTAGAGGGATTGACTTTTCCACCATACTCTTACAAATTAACATTTTTAAGTAAAAATAAAAATTGTGATTACCACTTACACACACTCCTTTTTCTTCAGCTCTGAAATGCCCACCCAATAGTCACTATGATTCATGCGCACCGGTTTGCCAGCCGTCTTGTACACCAGTTCCACCAAGTCAGTGCACTGGACCTTGTTCTGAAGGATGTGTTTGTGACCCTGGATACATCCTCAGTGCTGGCCAGTGTGTGAAAGAAAACACATGTGGTTGCACCTTTAATGATCATTATTATAAGGTAAACAAAACATGTGTTTTAATATCAAACAATGGTTTGTTTTAGTCTAAAACTAATAATTTTCATCAGACTAACACTATGTTTCCTCTCTATGTGGATTTAGCCAGGTGAAGAGTTCTACACTAAAGACTGTGATCTGCTGTGTAAGTGTGATCCTCCATTTGTTACCTGTAATGCTGCTGACTGCCCACCAATGGAGCAATGTGGAGTTCAGGATGGAATAACTGGGTGTTACCCACAAGGTAAGAACCATATTTAGGCAAGTGAATAGCATGGTCATAGACTTCACATATTCTTCATCATTTAAAAACTCTTCTTTTTACAATCCCTCAGGATCTCAAGACTGTGTCGTCTCTGGTGATCCTCATTACAACACATTTGATGGCAAATTCTACAGCTACATGGGCACTTGCACATACACACTGGCTCGCACCTGCAAAAACAACACCGGTAAGAGATTGCCAAAGACAAGTTTTACTATTCTGCTGTGACATTAATGCTTTCGTCATCAGTTGGTTTTATGGAGTCACCCAAAAAATTCTAGCATTCTTACAAATGATTCTCAAAGTACATTAAATGCCTCAAAAACATCCAAAAATATTGACATTAAATACGAATTTAAGTCCTGACAAAAGCCTGAGTCACTTCCCTCTCTGGTCCACAGGCCCCTGGTTCTCCATAGAGGGTAAAAATGAAGAGAGAGGAGCTTCTGGCGTTTCCTACCTGAGAAAACTGTACGTGACTGTTGACGGTATCACTGTGACAATGATGAAAAACAAGAGAACTCTGGTCAGTATTCACAGCAGCAGTCATCATTACACCAAGTCATTCAATAATCTTGGATAGAGAACTGAGATTAAGTCAGCAGATAAAATATATTTTAGTCTTACATTATAATCTCTTAGATTATATAACAGTATTGAGACACTGCTCATATTTTGAAATGTTTTCTGTCAATTGTGCTAAATCCTTTCATTTGTTTTTCATTTTTAAAATAATTAAATAGCCGTACTAATGAAGCCAAAGAGCAAAATCTCTCAGTTCTTCTTTTAGAAGTAGCATTAGTCTTTAATCCACTTCTCTTTTCCACACATACAGGTGAATGGACTCAGGGTGACTCTGCCTCACTCTCCATCTCCACTCATTTCTCTGTCTCTTGCTGGGCAATATGTAATCCTTACAACTCCGTTCGGCCTAAAAGTGCAGTGGGATGGCAACCATTATGCCAAGATCTCTGTTCCCAGGTACTTAACCGTTAAAAACAGTTTCCTTAAATTAATCATTATTAACTAAAGTGTTTGGTAGAAAAGACCCACATTGATTTTTAAGGGTTACATGTCTTGAGTAAATCCTTCAAAAAGCATCTCTGGGAAAATGAATCTCTTTACATTAATCTCTTTCTTATTTATTTTTTCAGCTCCTACTATGACCAGATGTGTGGACTGTGTGGGGACTATGATGGAAACCCCAATAATGACTTCACTAAGCCAGATGGCACCCAAGTTGACAGCTCAAAACTGTTTGGCGACAGCTGGCAAACTAAGGAAGATGAGGACGCAACGTCAGTATCTTTTACTCTTCTTCATTTTATCAACAGTAGAAATAGAGCAATGATTGAGGATTAGGTTGACTTCATATGTTTGATGAAGATGTTGTGCTTTTAGGTGTAAGCCTGACCCTGGACCTCAACCACCCTGTGATCCAGTGCTGGAGGGTGAGGTGTCAAAACCTGAGAACTGTGGGAAAATAACTGACACAAATGGACCATTTAGGTTGGACATACCAAATCTCCAAATACTTATTACAAAAATCTTGAATTCCTCCTCCTAAATTGTATAAGCTTAGTTTTTTAAGCTTTGTTTTTAACATTATAGAATTACTAACAGTTGCTAATTTACTGAACTCTTTCTCTTACATTTGCTCCTCACAGAGACTGTATCAAGGTGGTGAACCCGTTGCCTTTCTTCCAGAGCTGTGTGTTTGATATGTGCCACTATCAGGGGTTGCAGCAGGTTCTTTGTGATCAGCTTCAGGCCTACACTGATGCTTGCCTGAGTGCAGGTGCTCCTGTCCATCAGTGGAGGGAGCCAGACTTCTGCCGTGAGTCAAACCTGCCTATATTGAGTAACACAGAATAACATGTAGAATGGTTTAAACATCTAATAAAGCACTAACATCTGGCAACTTACAGCCATGCTAGAATAACATTTCAATTCCTAGTGACAAGCCTGCTTTTAGCGCTCTCTAATGCACTATATGAATTATTGAAATGAATAGAGTTCAAGAAGTTGGAATAGGAAATCCAGAGCTGAACACTTACCTTAACTTAGCTATATCGTTTAGATTATTTATGAGGCTTTTAGGAGCTGAAGACAGAAATGCTGTCATAGAGGGAGGGGGACAAGGAATTGGGAAACACTCTCTATAATGCATCCCTAATTTCATCTCAGTTCCACCGTCATTTAATGGCATTTCCTCTCATTTTTCCTTCAGCTCTGGTGTGTCCTCCAAACAGCCACTACTCCATATGTGTAAGCTCCTGCCCAGAGACCTGTCTGGGCATCAATGGACCACCGGGCTGCAGTGAAAAGTGTGTAGAGGGATGTGAATGTGACCCCGGCTTCATCCTCAGTGACAACAAATGTGTCCCTGTTAAAGACTGTGGCTGTGTGGACTCTTCAGGCTCCTACCATCCAGTGAGTTTAACACTAGGGCTGACCCATTGGGCTCTTGCACTGTAGAAGACATTTTTAAAGTGTAAAACTTCCATAAAATTACAGAACACAGCGTGATTAACAGTAGTTTGACAAATACATACAAATAAATGGATTTTAAAAAGCCACATATGCAGACCTCTTAAATACTAAAAACATTTTTTTACCTTACTTTTGAGAAAAAGTGTCAAACTAATTCATTCATTTATTTTCCTTTGGCTTAGTCTCTATTTCAGCCACCTATTCCAGCATGTTTTACGCAGCAGATACCAGGGATATAGGCATGGGCTGGTTTAAGTTTCTGCCGGTATGACAGCCTTGGATAAAAATTTCACGGTTTCACAGTATTGTGATTACTGCTGTAAAATACATTATTTTTAAATGGTTTAGTAAAAAAAAAAATAAATTAAAAAAAAAAAAATATATATATATATATATATATATATATATATATATATATTTTTTTTTTTTTTCCAATTGAACACAATATATTTCCTTTGAGAAAACATTCATAATATGTTTGCACAGTAAACATGTCAGGCTAAATAATTTAAATAAATCATTATCTTCATAAACACAGATTTCCTTGCAATACAAGATTACAATAAATGTGTTTTTTTTTTTGCAGACTTTTTATTTATTTATTTATTTATTTATTTTTTTGCAGTTTTATTACCTTGACTGTTTCAAAGCCTTAAAACCAGTTATCGCCCCATGCCTACAAGAATAAGTATCAAAGTGTTGTTCCAAACTTCATCTATTATCTGAAAGGGCTTAAAAAACTAAACACTAAACCAATACAAAGAATAAAAAATAAAAGTTTCTGTTACCTTTTGCATTTCCGTCGAAGGTGAACACACACATCTATTCATTAATTCATTCCTTTATTTTCTTTTCGGCTCAGTCCCTTTATTAATCTGGGGTCGTCACAGCGGAATGAACCGCCAACTTTCCCAGAAAGTTTTTACGCAGCGGATGCCCTTCCAGCTGCAACCCATCTCTGGGAAACATCCATACACACTCATACACTACGGGCAATTTAGCCTACCGAATTCACCTGTACCACATGTCTTTGGACTGTGGGGGAAACCGGAGCACCCGGAGGAAACCCACGCGAACGCAGGGAGAACATGCAAACTTCAAAAAGAAACGCCAAATGACCCAGCCAAGGGTTGAACCAGCGACCTACTTGTTGTGAGGCAATAGCACTCGGCATCGCCCCACATCTATTCAATGTCTGTGAAAAATGTCAGTCCCCCAGCAATCCTCCTCATCCACTGCTGGGTGAACATGTTTAAAAACATGTTTTTAAGTTGATCGTCTTACTTAGCTGCTGTCATTCATGCTATTTTTCTTGTACAGTATTTCTTACGTTAGTCACGGTTTCTCCTCACCTTTCTGTGATTTATTCGTTGTGTATGCATACCCAGAAACCAATGAGCTGGTTTAAATTTGGATAGTGCGAAGACAATTAAAATAAATAATAACTTAAAATAAATAAATAACTACATTTCAGACTAATTAATCATCACTGTTCTCATTACACTAAACAAGACGCTTGTCGCCTCCTATTGGCGTAATGAGGAATTTTTTATTAAACTTATTCAAATGAATCGAATCTTTGGCATAAATCAAATTTAGTGGAGTTCAGTGCAGTTTATTTTAAAGTAATTGAAAAATACAAGTTTCCCCGAGATGGGTTGCGGCTGGAAGGGCATCAGCTGCGTAAAAACTTGCTGGATAAGTTGGCGGTTCATTCCGCTGTGGCGACCCCAGATTAATAAAGGGACAAAGCCGACAAGAAAATGAATGAATGAATGAATGAATGAAAAATACAACAAATGGGATGTCAATTTTTGACATTCATAAAATTGTGGTCATTTTTAGGTTGACGAGAGCTGGTATCTGGAGGGCTGTAAGCAGAAGTGCACTTGTGAGGGAGGAGGATCTATTAAGTGTTATGACACCAGCTGTCTTCCTACTGAGAGCTGCCAGCTTCAAGATGGAGACTACATCTGCAAACCACTTGGTAAAAACACTGTTTGACACAAACAGTTGGTTTAACATACACATTTTTTTTTTCACATACACCAATGCAGCTCTGCACAAACATGTCAAGACATCTTATTATCTCTCATTTTTAAACTCTTTCTGTTTTAGGTTCAGGCATTTGCTCGGTTTCTGGTGACCCTCATTATACCACCTTTGATGATAAAGTACATCACTTCATGGGTGCCTGCTCCTACACTCTCACCAAGCCCTGTAATGAGACCTCCGGCATGCCATACTTCTCTGTGGAGACACAAAACGAGCACAGAGACAATAATAAAAAAGTGTCGTATGTAAGATCTGTTATCGTCAAAGTTCACAACACAACAGTCATTTTGGGCAAGGGCCGCAAAATACAGGTGAGAGACATTTCCAGGGATTTGTGAAGCCTCATTAACAGATTAGAGGGGATTAAAAGAGCAGTGCATTCATTTGCTTACCTTCGTCCTGCAGGTGAATGGAGTTCAGGTCACTGCGCCTGTAACACTTTCTAATGGTATTAAGATCTTCATGAGTGGCAAATTTGTGGTGCTTGAGACCAACTTTGGACTGCGTGTCCGCTTTGATGGAAATCATCATGCAGATGTCACCCTGCCTTCCTCTTACAACGGACTGTTATGTGGACTTTGTGGTAAAGATAGCACACTAAATTATCATGTAGCAACTTAATCTTAATAGTTTGGTGTGTTAAATCCTACTTACTGTATTAAAGGAAACTTTAATGGTAATCCTAATGACGACAACATCAAGTTAGATGGGAAGCCCACAGACAGCACCAATGAGCTTGGAGAGAGTTGGCAGGTGCCTGATGACAGACCAGAGTAAGTGAAAGCACATGCTTTTTTTCTGCTAAAAATTCATGCACTTCCTGTCATCGAAGCTTTAATCATTCATGCCTGTTCCTGTCTGGCACAGTTGTACTCATGGTGGAGGAGACATTGAATGTGACGATAAAATCCAAAGTGAAGCTCAGAAACCTACTAGCTGTGGCATGATCACCGACCCCAATGGTGAGCATATCGTTCATAACATTTAATGAACAAATACATAAAATACTTCAAGGGCTTAATCATAATGAGAAAATTTTCATCTGGCATGAGTGAAAGCTATTGTCAAAATATCAGAACGGGATACATGCTATAGCAAAAACATTGATGAAAAACCTCCTGCAGCTGATGTAGAGATGTGGTTCTGGGGAAGGAGGGGGGCATATATTTATTATACATAGATTCAAATATCTATTTAAGACTTTTGACTACAATTGTAATATTTTTCACAATGAATGTTGCCAATGACTTAAAGGGGACCTATTATGTAAAAATCACTTGTGGCAACAGTGTGTGAATATATCCAGCTGCTAATGGTACAAATGAATTAATTCTATTCATCATCTTTCATAGAAACAGTCTGCAGATACACTGATTGAAATTCTCCCTCTGTACAAGTCTTCAGAGGGAGAATGTGCCGCCCATTAGTGAAAAAGCTCTCCCTCATTAACATAGACAGCCCTAAGTGAGAAGCAGTCGTCCACAATTTAGACTTTTCACACCGTACCTGCTGAAGATAATGTCAGTGGCTGAGAAGATTATAAATATGGAGTTTTAGGATGCACAAATGAACACTGTAATCTCCATAGACTGCCTTCTTCTGAGCCACTTTTTTGACAATTTCAGTTTTTCACAAAAAAAATGTCCGGTTTTAAATCCGCCGCTATGCTGATGCTTTTGTAGCTCTGCCCTCTTTTAAAAAGAGCATAATCTGATTTTAAATTCGGATCTAAATGGGACAGTTTCGATGAGTTTTAAAAAATATTTGTGGGGTAGTTTGAGCTGAAACTTCACATACTCTAGGGCAAGGGTGTCCAGTCTTGGAGGGTCGGTGTTCAACTTCCTTCAACACACCTGCCTGGAAGTTTCTAGTATACCTAGTTAGAGGTTGATTCGCTGGTTCAGGTGTGTCTAAAATTGAGGTTGGAACTAAACTTTGCAGGAGTTTGGACACCCCTGCTCTAGGGACATCAGATACTTATTTCACATCTTGTAAATAGAAGCATCATATATCTCCTTTAAGGTTAAATTCACCAAAATCCTCATACTGCTCTGTTAAACGCCTTTATTCCAGCACATCTGTTCATTGCATTGTGCTGTTTTACAGAGCTGTTCTTATGACACATGACATCTGTTTTGTGCACCATTAAAAGCCTATTCATCATTCTTTTCCCAGGAATCTTCAAGCCTTGTCATGCAGTGGTGCCTCCCGATCCTTACTTTGAGAACTGTGTGTTTGATCAGTGTGGCACCGGTGGTGCCGCTGTGGCACTATGCCAAGCTATTCAAAGCTACGCTGACCTGTGCGCTCAAGCTGGGGTGCCAATTAACTGGAGGAATAACACCTTCTGTCGTAAGTGTTCCAGACCTACAGGCCCTTAAACCTGTCATTAACTGTATCCTGGTTACCTTTTAAAGGCTCAGCCTTTTTAGTGTGCACCCTTCAATTAGGGAGCCACCAATGAGTGCTGTTTCTTTCTTTTGTTCCTAAATTGGCCGTGCTAAAACAGTTGCAGTTATGTGTCTCTCCATCTCCACCCATAGTTTCACATGCTTCATTCTTTATTTTCTCTCCATTTTGATCCTTTCATTTCCTTCATTGCAATGGTTTATATAACAGCACTCTTCTGTTTTCATTTCTTCCAGCAATCAAGTGTCCGGTTGGCAGTCACTATGAGCACTGTGGTTCAGCATGTCCAGCCAGCTGTCAGGACCCTGGATCCGAAAGCACCTGTACTGAGCCCTGCGTTGAGGGATGTGTGTGTGACCCTGGCTTTGTCCTCAGTGGAGATGAGTGTGTGCCTTTCAGAGAGTGCGGTTGCACTGACAAAAACAACAACTACAGACCTGTGAGTTGATCTTTGAGGAACTGAATGGAACTTTCAGTTCAGTTTTGAATAATTAGAAAAACAGCATTGTTACAAGACATCTAGCACAGTTTTTACTTCTAGTTTAAGCTACACACCCCTGTGCAGTTAATTAATAATTCATATCCATATGTTGTTTTTTTGTCAGGTTGGAGACAGTTGGTTCACAAAAGATGATTGCACCGAGCGCTGCACATGTTCACCTTTCAATACTGTGACATGCGAGGCATGGCAATGTGGTCCTGCTCAGGAATGTAAAGTCAATGAGGGTGAACTAGGCTGTGTGAACACAGGTACATATTGCTTTAATAATAAATCCATCTACAGTATCTGTTCATGCATCTGTTTGTCTGTCTGTCTATGTATTAGGGATGCACTGAAATGAAATACAAATAACCGATCACTCTATAATTGTAATCTGATAACGGACGTATAGGCATATGCAAAACTTACTTATTTACGTCCAGAGCTGTTTATAGCTAAGTTGGTGTTTAGACGCACCATTTTGGCATTTTGTAAAGTCACATTTTTCGAGGTGAGTTGTTAGCCCAACACTCAATCCCCAGTTTACACACACACTTCTAACAATTTAGCTTACCCAATTCATCTATAGTGCATGTCTTTGAATTGCGGGGTAAACTGGAGTACCCAGAGGAAACAGACACCAACACGGGAAAACATGCCAACTCAACACAGCAACCTTCTTGCTGTGAGGCGACAGCACTACCCATTACGCCACTGTGCTGCCAAAACGCAAAACTTAACTGCAGAAAATTGTAAAGAAGCAGCAAGATCTTTTTTTTAAAGGAAAAACTTCCACAGTGCCAACTTCTAATTATCCTTCTAGCATAAGCTACTAAAATGTGCACCTGCTGCGTGCAACATGTCATGTCATGTCATAAAGGCACCACTCATGGCCAGCAGCACACATCTTAAGCAGATCATCCAGCAGAAATAATCCATAATTTATGACCCGATATTATTTTCTTAACAATAAAACTATGCATTAAACATAAAAAATAAACATTTATCAGCTGATATCGATATGGTGGCCATTTTGCATTACCAATATCTCATTATCTCTCTCTTTACACTGAATCTGTGTTCAAATATTTTTTATGCAATTATGCTAACTGATCTTCTTTGCAGGAGTGGGCATTTGCCACATCGCTGGGGATCCTCACTATTACACCTTCGATGGCATCATGCACACCTACATGGGCACCTGTACTTACACACTGGTGGAAGTGTGCAACACCTCTATGGTGACACCCTTCACCATTGTGGCCAAGAACGAAGAGCGCGGCCAACCAGAAGCTTCATATGTTCGCTCTGTGACCGTCTACCTGCCCACTGCCAACATCACCATCAGCAAGAGTGGACGAGTTCTGGTGAGTGGCAGAAAAAAGATGAAGAAATTATTGCATTTGTCTTCTTCTGATTAGACTTTGGGGTAAAACTTTACAATAAAAGTATTAACATGAACAGTTTAACACAGGAGTTCATGAGTAGTTAATGTGATATGCCCCTCCAAGTAAAGTCATGATATAATTATAGATTAACAGCTTATGAGATCTTGATGGTTACATTTAGCTTAAGCCTAAATGTTAATTAATACATTAACTAGCATGAACTAACAAGTAATTAAGGTAGCCATTATTTACACATTAAAGTCACGTGACTCATGTTGTAGTTAAAGTTAGTTCATGATTAACAGATCCATTAATTCATCATTAATTCAAAATAATGTTAAGTTTGCATATTAATTCATCATTAGTCATGTACTGTTATTGTAAAGTGTTACCTACTTTGGAATACAACTGTCATATGTGACCCTGGACCACAAAAAGTCTTATACCCAGTCTTGTTTTGCCTGGGTACAGCTTTGGCAATATCAAAATATATATTCACTAAATTATTTATTTTCCTTTAATGCCAAAAATCATTAGGATGTAAAATCATTAGGATTTAAAATAAAGATCAAGTAAAGATCTCATCCCTTGAAGATATTTAGTCAATTTTCTACTGTAAATGCCTCACAATATTTCTAAAAAAAAAATAATCATTTGGATAACTTTCATTTTTTAAATATATATTTTTTACTTTCTTAATACTTCTATTTAACTGAACTCTCAGATTCCAAATAGTTGTTTCTCTGCCAAATATTTTCCTATCCTAACATCCCATTTGTCAGTGTCAAAGGTCATTTATTCAGCTTTCAGATGATGTATAATAGAATTTTAAAAAATCAACACTTATGACTGATTTTGTGATCGATAATCACATATAATAATAGATAATATTTCAAACTGTATGAATTTATTGATCATTGTGCTAAATCTCTTACTTGTACTCTTTTCTATTCTAATAGTTGAATGAACGCAGAGTAAAAACTCCATATGACATTAATGTAGCCAAATCACGAGTGTTTACCAGTGGAGTGAACACCATACTAGACACGGACTTCGGCCTGATTGTGAAGTTTGATGGAGTGCACCATGTTGAGATCACAGTGCCTGGAGACTATTTTAACAAGGTATGAAACTCTCGATCTGATATGTACTTATCAGTGCAAATATACAATTAGAATAGCCACAAAAATAAAGTCCACTCCTTTTCACTGTGCGTCTTCAGTCAACCCTGACAGAGTTTAACACTAAAAAAAGTGCTTACTCTGGCACAGCATGTTAATAAGTGTGGTCTAAAATCTTGTCATGATGTGTAATTACTAAATCAGAAGGTTTCGTTTATTCCACAAGCTTTGGTTTGATTTTCCTGTCCTTTTTGTTAAAGGTGTGCGGGATGTGCGGTAACTACAACGGAGATTCCTCTGATGATAACTTAAAGCCAAATGGCAAACCAGCGAATAACTCTATTGAATTTGGTGACAGCTGGAAGGCAGAGGGTGACAGTGATCCTGGGTGAGTGTTAGTTCATTCGGTTCCTCTTCACCCCCTTCTATAATTCAGTACTAAACAAACCTAAATAGATAATAAAATTATAAATGTGTTGAATTTGAAATAATCAGTTACTAACCGGTCAATAATCAGTAAGCATAACTACACTCAACAAAAGAATTAGCTGCTTGTTCAAAATGCTTATTTGAAATAAGTTGAAGAAAAAAAAACACAATTATTGCAATTTTTTGTGACAACTTAATTGTTTTACGTTCAACCCACTTAAATTTGTAAAATAAATTAAGTTAACTTAATTGATTTTTGTTTGGACATCTTGAATGAATGGTGGAGAAGCTTGCAGGTTTACATTGTAGTTACTGTAATTAAATTACTTTTCTGATAAAAAAGGGATTACTTTTAATTTTTAGGTAACTTAATCACAATTACTGGGTGATCAGGTTTTCCCTAATAAATTATTTATATTATTAATTTCTAATTTGTTTATTTTTCATTTTATTTTGTTAAAAAAAAAACAAAATTAAAGAGATTTGGGAAGATTGAATTTTTTAAAAAACAAAATAAGACAAAAACAGACAAATTAATTCGATTTACTGTTATCTGCTGTGCTGTTGTACCAGGAAAAAAAGCAACACTGTGTTGTCATTTGTTTTAAGTACTTTTACATCATATGGAAATTGTGTGAGGCAATGCAAATGCAATGCAAGTAGCACGATGCAAATGACCCTCAAATCGGTGGGTCATTTGCATCGTAAACGGTGCGACCCCATAATTGGTCCAGGTTACCAGGGACTTATTGCCGATGGACAGGTGTTGATATGTGACTGCAGACGATTACATAAGGCTGCATTAAGTTCCTTACTTTTTTTTATCCCACCACGTACGCATCACTTTGATTTCTTTTGTCTAAGAAAGAGATATCTCATATTAACTCTCTTAATACATTTAACAGTACCGTATAACTCAGAGTAATTGTATTTTTTTTGTTATACAAATATATTGCTAAATAATTATATTTTTTAAGTAAAGAAGGTTAAATTCATGAAGTATTGCACATTTAAAGAAAAAAATAATTTAATGAAAAATGAGTTCATGAAAATATAAGGTGTACATTTATAGAAGCAGAGTATTTGTCTCATATGTTGGATAATATCAACAATATTAGTCTAAAACAATGAAAAAAGACATTTGTCAATATATGGTGTGTATGAAATGTTTTGAAATGTTTTTAGGTTTTTAAATGTTCATTCTTATATCAAATTGAAAGTTCCTGAAGTTTGACTTAAATTTAAAGAGTTTAATACCTATTGTTTATGCATTGAGATTAATATAGATTTGAGTTAGTATTGAGTCAAGTAATTAAATTACTTTTTGAGTAATTAAGTTGCTTTTCAGACACAGTAATTACAAAATTAAATTGAAAGTAAGTACAACTGAAATATAAGTTATGAAATTAGTTATGGATTTCTTTAATTCTAATTACTTTGTCTCGTTCCACCATCCGCAGCTGCCAACCTGATCCACGACCTGACGACAAACCAAACTGCGACGAGAGTGAAGAAGAAATCTACAAGGCGCAGTGCGCTTCCACTATCCTGTCTGATCGCTTCAAGCCCTGTCACTCTCTCATCCCTCCCGAGGCCTTCCTGGGGAACTGTGTCTATGATATGTGCGAATATAATGGCATGCAGTCGACACTCTGCGATAACGTGGAGGCTTACGCTCAGGCCTGTCATAGCGCTGGAGTCACTATCAGCTGGAGGAACAGCACCTTCTGCCGTAAGTGGAAGAGAAACAGAGAAGTAAAGTAATGCTGAGCTGGCTGACAGGAGGAAGAATCATTTGTGAAAATGAAACAGAGCCCAAGTTTTATGCAGATGAAATTAAGCATTTATGAGATTCTCAGTTGATAACCTCCAGGCATCATATAAATATTAATGGATTTTTCTGCACATTTTAAATGTGTCTGAATATGTCAGAAAATCATTTCTATTCGGATTCAGTGTTTTAAATGTCTTTCGTTTTTTTTCCAGCTCTCCCGTGCCCACCCAACAGTCACTACTCTGAGTGCACACCTCCATGTCCTCCTACTTGTGCTGACCTCTTCCCCATTTTCTGCCCATTACCACCCAATAGCTGTGTTGAAGGCTGTCAGTGTAATGCAGGTTTTGTGCTAAGTGATGGCAAGTGCGTTCCTCTCTCAAGCTGTGGATGCGTTGACAGCAATGGAGAGTATCACGACGTGAGTACAATTTGCACCTAAGTACCAAGCAAAACTCAGCTTTTCTCAATTTTAGCTGAACAATGATCACTTTTAATGTTTTATAAGCAGCAAATCATCATATTAGAATTCAAATTAGAAAAACAAAAGGATCTCCTAAGCCTATATATACAGATATGTATACAGTGCTTATAAAAAATCATCATACCTTACTACTCAGATTACACCCTGCTTTCAGAAGAACTTCAGGATAAAGTTTTAAAGAGGCAGAGGTTAGGAGAAAATTACTAAAACATTTCAAAGGTTGGAATGTAATTTAATTTCAGGCTGTATAACAAAGTAATTATTTCAAAGAGGTGTGATGATTTTTAATAGGCACTATACATATATATGAGCAATATCACACTAGTAGCAGTGCGTGCGATGGCCTGTGGCTGCAGGCTTAGTGCCTTAGTGCCCCCCACCAGTGTCGATATACAGTCATATCGCACTGCTACGAGTGTGATATTGAGTTTATACAACAGTTCAACGGCATAATCGTGCCTTTAAAAAAGAAAATTTAACTTGAAGAGTTTCAAAAACTCTTTTGTGTGAGGAATTACTGACATTTGCAGCTGACATCAGAACAGGAAAAACCATTGTCAGTTCACAAGCGTCACTTTAGAGCTAGGATTTGAATGATTCTCCAACATCATATCTAGCATGATGACAAAACAGGTGATATTTGCTCGCATATTAAGATTGAGGCTGAGCGGCGTAAAATGCCATCAATTTACAGAGATTTTTCTGTATTTCTCTGTTGCAGTCAGGTTATCACAATAATTAACCACAAAAAAGGTAAAGCAAAGCAAACACTACCAGTTTCTGTGGCATAAATACAGCTCTACGAAATACAAAAGAGAGAGATCGACTTAAAATGCCATTAATTTATAAGGATTTATTCTGCTGTAGTTTAAAACTTACGCTGAAAAAAATAATCCGACGCTCTGAAATTATAAATATTTTAAAACAGGCACTATCCTTATAAATAAACTCCATAGTTGCAATCTAAACAATTACATTCTCGACTAAAAAAAGCCTCAAAAGTACATTATGTTGTCTAACAGCAGCAATATTTGTCCAACTGTAGTGTCCTCTGCTTGTATGTACATAAATAAAAGCACATTTTTATATGCAGTCTGTAATCAATTGTATACAAATGAAAACCAAGAAAAAAAGTTGATACAAACATGTATCAGATACGATGAAAATTGACACCATAAAGTCAAACATGATCAAAATCAAAATATAAAATTGGAGTGGGAAAATAAGAGTAAAATTGTCAATTTTTTATAACTCTTAAAAAGATTAGTTATTTTAATTTGTAATAATATTTTTTTGATAAAACAAATCATCCTTAGTAAATCCTTATTAGCATGGCAAAAGAAAACGTCAATGTGCTTTATGCCATAAATGTACTTTAAAGATGTCTGAAGACATGCATAGACAAGCACAATTTTTCTAACTCTTCTAGTCATATTTAATTTTTGTAATTGAATAGTGTATAAATATGATGCTTGAATGTTATAAAAAATGCTGACTGCTTTCATTACATACGTCACAATATATTATAATAATGGGTGATTAATGTTAATGGGTGATTAATCAGGTAGGAGAGGCAACCCAAACATGCAACAGATACAGTAAAAATAGACACCTTGAAGTCTTACTTGGTTAAAATAATAATATTTCTTAGAATTTTATAATAATATTTTACAGAATTATACATTTTATTGTATTTTTGATCAAACAAATCTGCCTTAGTTAGTGCTTTCCAGCATGACAAAAGAATTCCCAGCTATAAATGTCCAAACAGAAAGATTTTGGACTGTTCAGCTCAATTGTTCTACCTCTTCTAGCCATATTTTATTTTTGTAAATGAATAGTGTACAAACATACTTAATCCTTGAATGTTGTAAAGAATGCTGACAGTGCTTTCATTATATCTGTGACAATATATTATAATAATGGGTGGTATATGTTTCAGGTGGGGGATTCCTGGATAACAGACCGCTGCACACAGAAATGCACCTGCAGCCTTGGAGGACTGTTGACCTGCAATGCCTTTGAATGCAATGAAAACTCAATCTGTGATCTTGACAGCAATGGAGACCGTTACTGCAAACCCGAGAGTGAGTTTAAGAATTAAATGACTTAAAAATGTATTTACCTCAGACCATCAAATCAATCAAAACTATGTATTTACCATACACAAATAAGAAAAAATGAAGATTTTAATTATTGTATATCTGTATATGCATGTGTTAATTGTACAAGCTAAAACTATATAGACTATTGTAAACAATAACAATGGTCCTAATTTATTTCCTGTTGTACATTTTCAATTTCTATAGCTTCCAAAAATGCAAAAAGGTCCACATATTGATAAATAATGTTATGATAGCTGTTTTAACATGAAGTTATGACTGAATTGCCTCGTGTTACAGTTATGAAATAGTTTGATAACAAGCAGAAAATGTTAATGGGCCAATAACACGACCACATTGAAATGGTCTATATTTGATTTATATATCTGTATATACACAGAACTAACTAACGTAACCTTCTCTTACTTCTTACAGAATTCGATGACTGCACAATTGCTGGAGACCCTCACTATCGTACATTTGACAAATACAATCACCACTACCAAGGAGCGTATACCTATGTGTTGAGCCAAGACAACAATTTACCCAGCCACCTCACTCCTTTCATGGTCCGCGGCAAAAACCAGAGGCAAGGAGGTATCAGTCGGGTGTCCCTCCTGCGCGAGGTCTTTGTGGACGTGTACGGCATTACTGTCCGCATGCAACAGAATAAGAAAGTGCTGGTAAGAGAGTCAAGGAACATGTAATTACACACAATCTATATATGTGACCCTAGACCATTTATATTGCACAGGCATATTTTTGGCAATGCTTAAAAATGCATTGCATGGGTCAAAAATCATTAGGATATTAAGTAAAGATCATGTTTGATTAACATATTAAGTAAATTTCATAATGTAAAAATATTAAAAATGTATATTTGGTTAATAAAATGTTTTGCTATGTACCTAATTTAACTAATTTAAAGGTGATTTTCTCAGTATTTTAATTTTTTTTTAACTCTCAGCCTTTTAAATAGTTGTTTCTGAGCCAAATTTTGTCCTATCATAACAAACCACATATCAATGGAAAGCTTATTTATTCAGTTTTTATATGAAATCTGTGGTCCAGGGTCCCAAAACACCATTACTGCTTAAAGTAGCAACTGTTTTCTCAGTAGTACACAATATTATAATACTAGTACAATTAAAATACTGTTTTCCTCTATCAGGTCAATGAAGAGAAGGTTGGTCTACCATACAGTCCTGTACAGGGAGTTAGCATCAAAACAAAATCTCGCTACGTGATGCTCACAACTGACTTTGGCCTTACTGTGCGTTTCGATGGCAGTTCCCAAGGAGGTACAAGATCCAAACCGCAAAATTCACATTTTATCAAGCATTTTTGAGAAAACAGATCATGACGCAAACTCTTTTTCTGCCCTAAAGTGGTGACTCTGCCAAGTGTATACAGGACTCGAGTGCTCGGTCTGTGTGGTAATTATGACGGACGCACTAATAATGAGTACACCAAACCAGACGGCACAGTCACCCGCGACCTCAATGTGTTCGGAGACAGCTGGAGAGTAACTGACAGAAGTGCAGCGGCTCTTCGTGCCACATCCCTGCCAAAGATGGTGCACCTACACAAGTATGTGTTCTGTCCAAAATTAAATGCTGTACACTAAACACTGCACATGCATTTGACCATTTAAACTATAAATCAGACTTTCATGCCAGTAGTGCTTACTTTTTAGATACTTGTATCTTTCCCTATTAAGTACTATTACTTTTTTGTTAAGTTAATCAATTTGTGTTAGGACAGCATGAAGGATTTGTGTGGAACCCAGCATTATTCACAGAGTAGTACACAGCAAAATCTTTACTCAGTTCAGAGAGTATTTGGTATCTCTTTATAATAAGTCAAACAGGTTAGTAATAATTTAAGCTGCTAGTAATTAAAGTTTGTGGTGTTGCCTATTGATTGAGTTGATCCTCTGCTGAGATTTTGAGAGATTCAATGTTTTGTATTTCGGCTGATTTCATCTAAAGGCTGGCTCACACTGTGCAATTTTCTTATTTTATTTATATATATCCTGAAGGATTGTAGCATGTCAGACTCCAAGAAATATGTTGCTGTATTTAAAAAGTTGCATTGTGAAAATTACTGTGTATTTTACAGTAAAGATACAGTACTGAAAATACAAATACAGCGAGAAAAATGGTGCTGTAAATGTAAATACAATATGTTTGTTGACATTGATTTGCAATAAGTTACAGTAGATACTACAGGAAATTGTTAACAGTGTGGAAAACATGGTTGTGAACTATGAACATTTATGGATGTGTTTAGTTGACAATTAAACATGAAGGTAATCGCATTAATCACAGAATAAACTACTTATTCTAAAGAAATAGTACATAAATACAGAATAGTACATAAATATGAATGCACCTTGAACAAATTCTCTAGTCATAAAAACTAACCTTTAATGAATCATCAGAAATGGTCTGGTATAATCCTAAACTTGAAACTCCTGTCTTCTGAACTGTTAGGCGAGAAGTGGAGGAGGATCCAGACTCAGGGTTTGAGACGACAGGCTGCACAAACGCTCAGCTGGAGGACCTGAACGGAAACAAACAATGTGGGGCTCTTAGTGACCCTGCGGGTCCTTTCTCTGCCTGTCATGCTGTGATCGATCCAGAAATCTACATGGAGTAAGTAATGTGTGTGTGTGTGTTTTTGTGAGTTTAGTAGTGGGTATCAGTGTGTATTTGCATTGTGTCAGATAATGATAAACTGTGCTTACAGTACCAATACACAGTCGTTAATGATCTTGTGTGCTTGTGTTCATTGCAGGGATTGTGTGTTTGATCTGTGTGCTGAGCAGGGCAGTGAAGTGCTCCGCTGTGAAAACTACGCTGTCTATGCTCGGGCCTGTCAAGACCAAGGTGTTACACTGGGGCAGTGGAGACAAGATCTCAAGTGCGGTATGAGCAAAACATTATTCTTCCAGTCTAGAGTGATTTACACACTTTCTCTTCATTAAATAATCCTAAAAAAACAAAATCATGCTTCTGAAAACCAAATGAATACTTAAGAATGATTTCTGAAAGATTGTGCAAAATAAGAATAAGGTATTTGGAGTTTACAAAACACAGCTTTCAAAAAAATGTTTCAAAGCTTTATGTAAAGTGATAAAAGTAATATTTGGTAATATTACTGTATGGAGATTATTTTGTGGAACTGGTAAACTTAAAAGACTTTAATTTAAATTTATAGAATTTAATTTAAATATATCTCAGGGTTTCTGCAAGTTCAATTTAAGTCAAATTTAAGACTTTTTAAGACCTTTTCAAGATCCTTCTGAATAAAATTTCAGACATATAACACTAAGCACTAAGCATGTTTCTAATGACCAGTGGAAAAGATTTTTAACGGTCCCCTTCAAAAATATCTAATTTTGTTATTTCTTAGCCAAATATCTTAAATAATGTGTCGAAACAAGCAAACTCTGGTTGTTTACATGGACTTAAATTGAGTTAATAAATTTGACTTTTGTTAAATGTTTTTATTGAGATGTATTGTTGCTGATTGGATGAGTGTTGACCTGGGGTCCAGTTCTTCATACATGGATTACTCAGTTAGCTGGATTTAGTTATTTATGTTTATACATGATCCAGGACATGATCCTTTTCGTTTATTCAAAACTCATCTGAAAGTACTTGACTTTTTAGACACAAAAGCAAACTTATTTAAAGTACCAGTTTTAATACAATTTGTGTATGATAATAGGCATGGACAATGTTTGACTTTTTAGGAATAATAATTTATACGGTCGTGCACATGTTTTTACAGCTAAAATGAGCTACAATGAGTAGTGTATGAGTGTGTGTGGATGTTTCCCAGAGATGGGTTGCGGCTGGAAGGGCATCCGCTGCGGAAAAAAAAAAACGTGCTGGATAAGTTGGCGGTTCATTACGCTGTGGCGACCCCGGATTAATAAAGGGACTAAGCCGACAAGAAAATGCATGAATGAATGAGTTAGTTATTCCCTACGCCAATTAAGAAACTTGAATATGCTAGGCTACTATAATAAAGAAAATACGCTCTAAATGTAAAACTAAATATCTTGCTAAATACTCTTGACACATCAAAGTGTAAAGCCTGCAGCCCACAACAAAAGTGGAAAGTTATTGTGTATCATAATAAAAAAACGTTTACTACAAATGTAATATTGCTCACATGAATAATTGAATATTAATTAGATGAAGGCATTATGCAGCTTTGCTGTCAGTCAATCGCTGCACTGCTGATTATGATTCTGTGGATTGATAGATCCACAGGCAGTGATCTCAGATCAGTTCATCCAGACATTTTAATCTGATTCACAAACATGTTTGAAGAACCAAATTAGCCAGAGATCAGTTATCAAGATCAAAAGATCCTGCAGGATCTGCCAAATCATATTGGATCATTTAAGCGACGTACAAAAAACGGACCCTTGATTGGAAATTTAATACCTGATTAAAATGATTTAAGAGCTATTTCAGTGAATTTAAGTCTAAAATTTAGTTTTTGAAATTTAACACTGTTTAAGACCTTGCAGACACCCTGTATCTATGTCAGGGTTACTAGATCTCTGTAACAAAACCATTCCAATGATCCCATCCACATACCAAAACTCATCATATTCCACTCCCACACAACCATCAGACATTTCTACAGCTGGTTATGCATTACACACAGTTTGGTACTAATACACAGTACGCCCACAGTGAACTGTAATACTCCTGAAAATCAAGATGATAATCCCTGCTTACTATCAAATGGTCAGACAGAGATTTATGTTTTATAAATGATTAAAATATTGGTATCTGGGATACAGCGAGTCTAGAATGGTAGTGAAAAGCACTGAACACACTGTGGCCAAGAGAGCTCAAAACCGCTGTAAGTAAACAAAAAATAAACACATGCAAAAGGAAAACATAACAAACTGAGAAAATATCTTCATCACTTTGATGAAACACATGCACACACAAATTCAAAGAAACGTGCTGCAAATAGCACTGTATTAAAATGTATCTGGGACCACAAAAAGAGACTGTTTCCTGTTTAGATTCAGTGGTTTATTTAATGTTAATTGTGCAGTTCATCAGATTATTAGGCTTAAAATAAATAAACAGGTTCATTCCGCTGTGGCGACTCCAGATTAATAAAGGGACTAAGCCGAAAAGAAAATGAATGAATGAATGAATAACAAACATCAAGGAACTGTTATAACCAGAACATTAAAATAAACAAAAACCCAACTGTCAGATCTCCAACAACACCGCTGACTCTAAACAGGAAGCAGCTGGGTTTTTCACTTTTTGTAATACCCCGACACATTTACATTGTGTCTGTGCTATTTGCAGCACGTTTCAACATTTGAATGTGTTTAAAGAATTTGTGTGTGTTTAAGATCTCACCGTAGATTAGACAGTGGACTATTGAGAGAATTCAACAAATAGAGGCTCGGACATTCTATATGTACATAACAAGTGAATAATTGACATTTACATCATTTACAAGCACAAACTTATCAACTCAATCACCTGTACTGTCCTGATTGCATGTGTGTTTGTGATCACCTGTAGGTCTGCAGTGTGGAGCCAACAGCACCTACTTCGCCAGTATGACTCCCTGCCCGGCGTCCTGCGGAGATCTGGCAGCTCCATCCGAATGCGAGCAAACGCAGTTGGTGGAGGGATGTCAGTGTAACGCCGGCTTCGTCCTGAGCGACCAGGACTGTGTGCCTTACAGCCAGTGTGGATGCACTTATCTCAATCGCTACCATGTGGTGAGTCTATTGACGCATGTACAAGACTGCAGGCGGTGATGTGAAATGAATTGCAAAGAAAGCTAAAACAAGACTTTGTTACTCTACACAGCTCGGGGAGATGTTTGTGACTGAAGATTGCGCACAGAGTTGCGAATGTACAAAGACTGGCGCTGTGTGCCAAGTCAAGGGCTGCCAGGAGAACGAGATCTGCACTGTGTTCGAAACCAAACTGGACTGTTATAGAGGTGAGCTTATTGAGACTAACATTCTTCAATTCAATTAAATTTACTTTATTTCTAAAGCGCTTTTACAATGTAGATTGTGTCAAAGCAGATTAACATAGAAGTTCAAGTAAATGAAAACTTTGTCAGTTCAGTTTTTAGAGTTGAAGTTTAGTTTAGTTTAGTTCAGTTCGGTGGTTTCATTTTTACTGCTAAAAGTCCAAACACTGAAGAGCAAATCCATCAATGCACAGCTCCACAAGTCCAAAACCAAGCAAGCCAGTGGTGAGGAACAAACTTCACCAATTGACCAAAGTGAAGGAACAAACTTTGAAAGAAACCAGGCTCAGTTGGTTGTACTTTTAGGGGGCACATTTCAAAGTCATTTCAGTCTTTTTTTTTCATGCATCACTCTGCGGTCTTCACAAACAAGCTAATTAAATAACTTAAACTCAAAATAATCTTACATATTAATTTATGACAAGTAACTTTGTATTTTAGTAGAATAACACATTTTTAACATTTTAAGTACATCAAGGCACATTTTTGCATCTGTAAACTTTAACAGCTTTAACAGATACAGTTGATGTCAATTTATTTTGCCTTCCTGTTCATTTAACATAAGATTTTCTGGTGATCTTTAACAAACTAAGGAACTTCTCACAGTAGTTCCTATAAAAAAAAAAAAATATATATATATATATATATATATATATATGTATATATATATATATATATATATATATATATATATATATGTATGTGTGTGTGTATATATATAAATATATATATATATATATATATATATATATATATATGTATATATATATGTATGTGTATATATATATATATATACATATATATACATATATTTTTTATTTATCTTGTTGTGTTGTGTTGTGTTGTGTTGTGTTGTGTTGTGTTGTGTTGTGTTGTGTTGTGTTGTATGAACATTTTATGAAAGTGGAAGTTTCTATATATGACATTTCTGTCATATTTTACTCACCCTCCACTTGTTCCAAACCTGTTTGAGTTTCTTTCCATTTATGAAAACACATACTCTTGGCATCCATATTACTGAAGCTAACGGCTGCTTTTGTGCAACATTCTTCAGAATATCTTGTACACAAGAAAGGATTTCATAACAGTTTAGAACCAGTTGAGTGAGTAAACTGTGAAGAAATTGCTGTTTTTGGGTGAACTATGCCTTTAACTTGTCTAAAAACATGAAGTCACTTTTAAGGTTAGTATTTTCATTTGATTCGTGGAAAAATCCATGAAAAAATGTGCCATGCTTTAGTGTAAGATTTTGGCAATTTACAGGAAACAAAATACTTAAAATCCACAAAGAAATGGGCATGATAACATCACATATCTAGCAGGTCATTCATTTGCTCATTCGTCATTTACAATTTGAACCAGTTCTTGTCACGTTTCGCTTTTGGAATTATATTTAGCCAGTATAAATCACTATTACTACATTTAAGAAGCACTTTAGTTCAGTTTGTACTGAACTACGCAGTAATAAAACTTCAAAAACGCATTTAATCTGCATGAATAACAGATAAAGTAAAAGATGACTAGTTTGCATCCCTGTTGACAGTGCTTTGCATTCCCTGCTAAATCTGAACTCCGCCTCCTTCACTCTGATTGGCCATCTCAATTCGTTTTACACCGACAAGCCATTTAAAGGCTGAATGTGTAAATGTCATTTATAGAATCGTTTTGTCACCACATAGTCAGCAGAGTCCAGCAGAGCAGTGCAAGAATTTCAAAAACATATCTGGGCTTTTTTTTATTTATGGAGGACCAGGAGTGCCAGTTAGAAATAAAATGAAGAATCAAATGATCATGTGTTAATAATCGAAGCATTAAAATGTGTATTTAAGTCACAATTTAAATGAACAATTAATGGACAAATAAATATCCTTCACCTACAAATGATACTAGATTGATATTTTGTTGTCGGAATATGATCTGAGAGATGCTTCAGAAAAGTAATGTTCTGATTTATTTCATTTGTTTTAGTGAGTCCATGTTTGAGTTCGCCCTGTCAGAACGATGGCACCTGTAATGATAAAGAAGATGGTTCTGGCTACACCTGCATTTGTGCTGAAGGGTTTGAGGGCACAAACTGTGAGCTCTTCGAGATCCCCCCTAAGGGAGGCCTGGGTAAGTGGACATCTAACCGAGTAGCGTTTTCATGCTTGGTATGTGACCATATTTTTAAGTGATGTCTGATATTTCTTGCTTCCTCTGTTATAGATAAAACATCGATTATCTTGATTGGCGTCCTTGTGCCACTCGGCGTCCTCCTCATACTTACAGCAACTGTGTGCATTTACAAAAAGTGCAGGTATTCAAGAATAAATTGGCCAACATGCACTTGAAAAAGACTTTGAGTTCATTTTTATTGGGTAAACTAATATTGGAATTCTTTTTTCTTTAAACAGCCGCAAGAAAAAGACTTACGATTCAAAAAAATTTGAGCTGAGCAAAAAGACAGGTAAGGCATCGTTTTCTCTTTCATTCTCAAACACATGCAGCAAAAATGATGAATCGTGTAATCTGAGCGTTTGTGAATGTGTCCACAGCGCATCCCTATGAAAGTATGGATAATGAGAAGAAGCCAGCAGCGGATAACAGTGTGCTGAAAGCTACTACGTTCTGAGGAGAAACTTCCGTGCTTTGACCTTGATATGCTACTATGCAAAGATTTCGTTTATATTTATTCATTTTCAATGTGACGTGACTGACAAACTTCTGTTAACATATCGTTTTTTTCAGCCTGTAACTTATTTGTAAACTTCATTGTGATTTTGTTTTGTGTGTGTTATGATTGGGGATTGAGTGCAATGATCAAATGTCCGTATTTGAGTATCTGACGTGAAATAAAATATATTTTATTTTGGAAAATATCAGCTGCATCGTTTTTTTTTTACCTCTTAAATCAAGTGCTATTTTGGGGTTTCCACTTGGATTTGTCTACCCAAATTTAAAAGCTTCCCAAATCCACATCCAGGGGTGTAAATGCAAACATTTAGTATCATTTTAAAGAAAACCCTTTGAATTTTCATAAAACAAAAAGTGATTAAAATAATTGCATAATGCTGTATGAACCCCTCCAAAAAATAAGAGCTTTTTTTGTAAACTCTAATTTTCAGGGTTTGTACGGGTGCTGGAAATCCTGGACAACGCTTGATTTTTAATATAGTGTTTTCAAGGTTAGAAAAGTGCTTGAACCTGCTTGAATTTGAAATTGCAGGGCTCGAAATTGCGAATGTTTTGGTTGCATATGCGCCCGAGATTTTATCTATGCAACTCAAAATATATCTGGGAACATTTGTGTAAGTGCATAAAATTGTTGCCGTGCAAGTCACGAGATGTCAACTTTAGGTGGATAGAGACCAAACTTAAAAAGATACTTCATCCAATAACTGAACTTTTTTTTATTAACCATTTTTGGGTAAACTATTCCAATAAATCTATGCTCCAAAGAATTCAACAATTTAAGTTCAAATGTCATGATTTTTATTTTTAAATAGCACAATGGATTTAAATGTAAAAAGTACCTCCAGCATATATAAACATAATTTACCGTAGTTGTTACAGTAGGTGCCAGAAAAGCATAAAATGCACCTGGAACGTGCTTGAAAAGTGCGGGAATTTGAAGTTGGAAAATGTGTAAGAACCCTGAAAAAAAACTTTAAAAGTGTACCTTTTTTGGTTCCTGCACATGTCAGTAATCATAGTAATAAAGAAAGATGTCTCAATCATGATATAAACAAAAGTTATTTTATTCCAACTGATGAGAGAACGAAATCACTTATGGGATATTGGGCTAGTACAGACCTTTAAAATTTAAAGAATGTGGAAGTAAATGACGGACCCGGTACCGTGTACGCAGAGTTTAAAAGGCTTTTAAAGAAGTCAACGAGATGATTTATGCCCTGACTGCTTTTATTCGTCTTGTTCAAGTGTAACAATCCAGTTTCCAACAACACACATTTGCAACACTTTTGTTAACACTTTAAACAGTAATGCAATTGAAGATGTAAAAAAAAACAAAAAACAAACAGGCGCAAAGCAGCAGTTCATAGAAGAGTAAAAATAGTTTCGCTTGAACAGCCGTCTATATGATTGAGTGCCACAAGTACTTTCCTCCAGAAGGGCTTCTTGGCAGGTCTTGGCAATTCAACAAATGCAAAACACACAATACAAGCGCAATACTCCACCATTGATCAACTTCTAACCTTTATACAGAGCGGGGGTTCACTTCTTAATCCTGTCAGTTAACAGCTGCTCTGTGATTTGCCTTGTCAAGAGGTAAAAGCCAACGTTTTTTTAAGTCCAAAGTAATCAAGTAGTCCTTTTCCCTCAAAAAAAAAACAAACAAACAACAAAAAAATAGATAAATAAAGTGCTTTAACAAAAATAAACATGATAGTCCTATTTTTGTACCAGTGAAATGCACTCGTATAACGCCTTGCCTTGGACAGCTTAGCTAACGTAATAAACATTTTCAGAACATTTGCTCCTGTGGTAAATGGTCTAATTTTCCCAAGCCATCTTTCATCACAAGTATCACATATTAAATAATATTACATAGGAAGGAACAGAAAGAAACTGGCCGAGATTGAAATTACAAGTGAAATATGGGTTGTGAATTTGGAAATGGAAACACATCACAGTGTTTATAATAAAACATCGACATCCATAATATGGAATAGGGTTTACATTTCTACAGAATGATATTCAGTTCAAACTTCTGCGTCTGAAAATTTCAAACATTCAAGATCCTACAGCTACGGATAAAAATTAAAAGAACACTTGGAAATTTACAGTTTAAAGTTTTTTATTCAAGTACAATGTGTTCTTAATTAATTGTTATTAATTATTGTTATTTAGAGCAGTGTTTCTCAACCATGTTCCTGGAGGCACACCAACATTTTGGATGTCTCCCTTATCTGACCAATTAATTTCAGGTTTTTGAAGAGGCTCTTCTAATGTTCTGGTAATTTGATTCAGGTGTGTTTGAATAAAAAGAGATTGAAAATGTGTACTGTTGGTGTGCCTTTAGGAACAGAGTTGGAAAACACTGATTTAAAGCATTAAATGAACATTAAACTATTAAACGATAATCAAATTAATTTAGAGCATTAAACCTGGTCAAAATAACAAAAAGTGCCACATTTTCAGAAATGTTTAGAAATGACTATTTGTTGGAATAACCCTGATTTTGACCAATTACCTGTCATAGTTTAAAGTGAAACACTTAACTAAAGTCTTATCAGACCTTAAAAGAATAAAACCAATACCCACACACCTAATAAATTCAGATGGTTTCTTCATTTTTTCCATAAATGTATATTGGGACACAACATAAAACTGTGCAATATTGCACAACATAGGACAATATTCGTTTTTCAGTCCTCGGGATTAGTCAGTAGTCATCGCATGTAAACATTGGGAAAAGAAATCCATCATTAAATGGCACACAATGGAGTGACGCTTCACGTCAGTCGCTTGTTTATCATAAATGCGACTGTACAGCCTAACAGACGCCAACCATACATTTGTTCTAGCAGGAAAGAGAGAAGCAAACGAAAAGAGCAGATCACTCCAGCAGGAATGTGTCAGAAAGAGTAAGAAAGTTCAAATGGAGGAGCGGAAATAAAATGGCTTCTGCCAATAATACGAGCTCCATCTTCATGCTGATTTGCCTGCTTCTCAGGCATTAGACGTTGTGGTTGTGTGTGAATAACCCCGTACAAGCTTGATGAACTGGAGTGTCAACATTAAATAAATATCATTTTAACAACATATACACATTACTAATGAGTAAGGAATCATGGTGACTTTCTGCACTAGCTACATTGTAAAAAAAGGCCAGGGAAAAACCTTCCAGTGTACAGGACTGAAAAATAAAGGAAAAGTTCAGCCACAAAAAAATGTACCCACCATTTACTCAAATTGTTTCTTTGTAGACCACAAAAGAAGAATGTTGGTGACCAGACCTTTTCACTTTGTATTATTGTTCAATTTGTCTGTTAAATACCTTATTTTGTGTTCGACAGAAGAAAAAAACTCATATAGGTATGGACAATTTTGAGTATATAGTGGGTACATTTTCATTTGTGGGTGAACGGTCTCTTTAAATGAGCCTCCTTATTGTTCACAGGCACAACATTGCAAACCATCTATCAAGTACTAAAAAAACAACAACAATAAAAGCACTTAAACCAAGCGGAATGAGAGGAATTAAATATGGGCAGAGAATGTTGGCAGGTTTCAGAAAAGAAATGTAAAGACATATGGTCCAATAAGAATGGGAAAGGGGAAAAAGTGCATTTGTATGGATATGACTAGCCCTAGGTGGAATCTAATCCCTATTCAGTTTTAAACTAGATTAGGGAGAATCTAATCTATGAAATGGATTCAAATATGGTGAAATGTGCTAAATGGAGTTCTTTACTTCAACTAGTACATCGAACCATTACTAAATTAGTCAAAATATTGAACAGAGATTCCAGTGGGTGCTGTACAACAACCTAGAAATAATGACAGAATCTTCAAATTTCTAAAACAAAAAAAAACTATGGACACTTGTGCACAGATTCCATGTGGACTAACCATAACCATCCATTCTCTCCTTAAACAGCAATCAGTAGACTTTTTAACTTGTATAACACAAGTTTCAAAACTTCATGACTCCAGTGAAATGTCCTATGGATAAATTAGAAAAACCTATGTGTGTGTGCGTGTGTGTGTTTGCTTCTTTTATCATTCTTTCAGTCAGACTTGTCTAAAACAGTAGCTGCATCCAATGATTCAAAATAATCAGCATGTAAACAATAAATGATGGTAAAAAGAACAAAATAAATATATCATAAATTTAAACTGAAAGACAGTGGACGTTGAACCACTTTTTGTTTTACATTAATTTGTGACATGGTTCTACCATGTGTGTGTTTGTGTGTGCATTTAGTTGTGGGAATCGAGTACCAGCACCTTGCATTCACGCTTGGCAATCTTGTCGAGTGATAAGATGTTTCTGTCTGGAGGAAGATACAGAGGTCGACCAACAGGAGAGCCCACTGGAGGAGTGATGGCCCTGCGCTCCATAACACTGCCTGTCCTGAGAAAGACACACACACACACACACACATCAGTGCTGCATACATGACATTGGCATGATCTAACAAACTAAACTGAACCACTATAAAAGTCTAAAAGAACTAAATATTCTGTCTGTCATGGAAAAACTGTATTTTAACATTAACAGTTTAACAGCATTTTTTAATGTTTGTTAAACCTAAACATTTTTTTCTTCTGCAAATAAAAAGTTTTTTAAAAAATGCAACAGCTTGTTTATTTATTTTTGCAATAATGGCAAAGTATTTACTTTTACTTAATTATTCCTTGCTAAATAAAATAAAATCTCACTGACCCCACAGTTTATTCTGTCAGCTAACAAAAAATATCAGTGCTTCCCACACATAGACTTTACTTGGGTGGGCCGCCCAGGTATATTACCGGCCACCCAAGTAATTTTAGTGACACTTTTTTTTCTTTTTTTACTATTATTAACATCCTTTTACACTTTATTTGTATCTGCCCAATATAAAAAACATTCATGATCGATTAAGTAGTGGAAAATCTTTTATCATTTGAGTTCTGTGTGCACGAGACTTGTCAGCACTCCCACAGACAGTGAGACAAGCTTTGCAGACCCACAGAGATGCGCATTTGTAGTAATTAAAAACCCAGCCCGGGTTTCTAAATCTCTTAAAATGTTCGGGATTCAATTTTTGCTTTCGCTTTCTAAAGCTCGTATGCGCTTTTGCATTACTCTTTTATTAAAGACTTTATGCTTGGCTTCACAGCTGACAGCATGTACAGTCGTGAAACTGAGAGAAAAAGTAAACTATAGATTTCTTCAGGGCACCTTATTTTACCGACCCCCCTCCTCAACCGCCCTCCTCCCCCGTCCGCTGTTAACTTGCACTTTCTTCTGCGACTCCTTAACCCTCTTCACTTTCATTCACAACACCCCTCCGCCATCCAACGTCCCGCCGCTCTTTACTTTCCTCCGTGATACAATTGTGCGTGACACCTTTACATCCTTGGGTACCATGCCAGATCTGTTAACCCGTTCTGTTCCAGGACCTCGCAATTCACAAATTAAGCACTGGATTCTTTAACCAAAACGAATAATTTACTGTATACTCAGAAAGGACAAAATGACTGGTCTAATTGGCTGCAAAATATTTGTACACCCTTATTAATGGTTAATTAACGCATTTGCCTTATTTAAATAATCTACAAATTTTAATCTTGTAATTATGATAATTTTTAGAGATATTGTCTATTGTTTATTAACTTTTTTTGTCGTTTTTTTCTGTTTTGTTGATTATTTTATTAATTTGATGATGTTACTATAATACATAGGCTTTTTTATTTACATATCTATTATGCTTTGACATTCAAGTTTGCTTTGAACTTGAAAAAAAGAGAAGCAGATTTGACCTGTCAGCGGATGCACAATGCTTCTGAATAGAATAAAAGTGAAAAAACTTTTATTTCAACAGTTTTTTTTTTACTTTAACCCATTGAAAAGAAACAGTGTATAACAGTGTCATTATAAATACAATTATTGTTAAAAATTAAATTGTGTTTTGTTTGTGGTATATAGTTATATATGTGATGTGATGTGGGTAAATGTTTCAATCCGGCTACCACCGCAAGTATATTTCAAACCTGTGAAAATCCCAAAATATTATTATTATATTATTATATATTAATGCATTATTAACTGAAATTTCTTAATTAATGTCTTAAATTGTGTTGGTTGACAGTGCATCTTTGTACACAATCTCTGTCTGTACTCTGTAGTATTTTAAAATGCTGGATTTATAAAAACATTGTTAATTATATATATATATTTTTTTTTTTTTTCATTTTTTTTGTTTGAAGAGACATCCTATTGTCAAATTATTAATTTATTCATGTAATCTCCCTAAATAAATTCTTACCCACCCCCTAACACAAAGGTAAGCAGAAGTGTACTTCAGTGGTCAGTGCGTGTGAGAGAGAAACTTGGAGACTGCACCATATTTATCAATACATCTTATTTATGTGTGTTTGTGTGTTTCTTGTTGTACCTTGTGAGGTGAAACTTGGATGGTTGTTGGTGTGAGAAGGACTGAGAGCGGCCCAGACTGAGACTAGCCTGATGTCGGTCCAGGATGTCTCTGACCGCTGGACTTGACGGGCTGTTTTTTCGGGACAGTGGACGGGCATCAGGTGGAGGATTGGACACAGACGCTGTGAACTGGAGCTTCAGCTTCATGTGCTGACTTAACTAAACACAGAGAAGGTAGAATAGCAGATATGGGGGTATAATTGAAAGAAGAGTAAGAGAACATTAAATTACTCCATACCTGTGAGGTATGCTTTTCACTATTATTCCAAACACCACTTTTAATCCTGGGTAAAGACGCATGTAACTTGCTATCTGAAAGAAGTATTAGAACTGCATTTTACCCAGGGTTGTGAATTATGAAACCCTGCTTTGGAGCGGAGTTATCAGCACATTTGTGGTAATGATGCAGAAATGCAGTCTTGTTTGTTAAATGTTAAATGGAGCAGTGTTTACTTGTTGTTGTTTAAGGCTTGGCAACAGAGATAGCCAATCAATAATTGATCAGGGAGGATTACATCACATCACAAAATGCGCGAGATGTAAATAGCAGCCGGTGGGAAGTAATGTTAAAATCTTCAAAAGAAAGAAATGCCATAAGATGGTTGCCTGCTGTTCAACTATGCACAAATATGCAAATAGGATTGTTAACCTGGGGTTAAGTAATGTACAGTGTGAAAGTAATTAAAAGTTAATGAGCATGTTATTAGTTAACAACAGGTATGTTATGTGCAACATGATTAAAGATAACCCAGGATTCGGTTTGTCCCGGGTTTAGGATGACCCAGGGTTAACAATTTCAAGTGTGAAAACATTTTTCTATTGTTAAAAGATAGGCTTGGTTGAATTATTTTTAATTGTCAATTAGTTTTTAAACATCCAGAGGAAGTGGATGAAATCAGTGACAAAAAGCTTCTTAACTCTGGCCTAACTAATAAGTATTACATTGGGATAATTAAGTCTGGTAATGGTTGAATTAATAAAGGCTAACAGCAATCTCTTTAGGCAAATGCTGGTCTCTGACTGGAAACTGAAAACGTCTTATTTAAAACTCCACATACTGCAGGCTTGCTGTGGTGGTTGATGGTACTGCGGTCTAATGTACACTTTCTGCATTTACACTGCAGCACTACCAAATATAAAGTGTGAGACGAACATCTAATCTTGTAAAATGTGTGGTCAGCACTGTGACCACAAATTCGACAGTGAAACATAATATTCAGAATATTTTAAGCCCTTTATTTTGCATTGTAATTATTTATTCGTTTGATTAGTTGATTTCAAAGAAACTTCAACTTTTTGTTACACTGAAAGATCTTTAAATTTAGGTACGTTATGCAATTTATCGTGTACTTTGTCTTTATTAATGAGTTATTAAAATGGTCACAATGTCCCCTTGCTATTTTTTTAACGTTCATAATTATAACTTGAAGAGTGTGGCTGTAGTTTGTTTTATGTGTACACATTTATGCAAATTTTATACTTTAAACATTTAAGAATATGTTGCAGCATTTCTCTGCAATGTATAACAATCTAATAAATAATATTATTTTTGGCCCTGAAATCATTTCCTCCATGTATTCAGTAAAAGCATGTGAGTAGTCAGTTAAAGGAGTCCATTAGTCGACAGCAGCCCTACATGTAAATCCCTCGACGAGTCTTTACCTCAAAAAGTCCTGCTCGGAGAATCTGGAAGGCCACACTGACGGAGAGAGTGCTGCCTTTTCGACAGTATCCCAGATTACTAAGAGGTGAATGACACACCACTGCATTCACTGCAGGATCTTCTTTCTGGCCACGACCTGAGAGGAAATTGATGATCAAAACATGAAGGAAATACCATTGAAAGCAAAGAAAATAGTCTGAGGCTCTTATCTGAGAGAATACACATGCACCATATGAAACCGTTTGTAATCAGGCCCTGGTTTTACCCTGGCCTTGTCTTTACATTTCTTTGATTTCTTAAAAAAAAGAATCTTTCATTATCAATAAAATGGCACAAGTATTTTCATAATATGTGTGACTTTACTCAATCACAGAATAACATTATTTGTGTATTATCTTTTTGTATTCTGTTAATGTTCTTTTTTTCTGACTTTTGCTGCTATACTTGTCTACTGATATCCTTCTCTTTGTCCTTTTTTGTTTATGTGTGTATGTTCATAAAAACCAATAAACAAAGAATTAAAATAAAATAAAATAAAATTAAATTAAATGGCTCAAATGTCCTAAAATTACAATAGACAAGAGGACAAAAAGTTCCAACATCCTCAAACCTTCTTTTCATAAGGATAGAAGAAAAGCTAAATTAAGATCCTGTTATTTATACCAAGTGACTGTTGATCTGTAATGCAGTCAATATGATGTTTGGCTTCGTGTAGTCTTATGTCTTTAATGTGCTAAGCCTGACAAAAGCCCATTACATCATAAATACTTGAATACTTACAGCCGGAGCCTCAAACTCAAGATTATCAACATGGACAAGCATGAAACACACCCTTTATGAGCAAATAACATTTAGTAACTTTTGCCTTTGCTCTCCACTTTGCTTTTATCAGCCCTGTCTCTGATAGTGTTGCAACACATTTTTGTTTATCACCGTTTCGTTAACTTCAAACGACACTTAGTTTATAGGCAGTTTTGCATTTGTTGACACCTTTCTTACCTTTATTACTTTATTCTTACTTCGATCTAAGAAATCTCTTTTCAATCTCTTGAACGACTGTTATTATTGTTAAGTTTTTACACTTTTTTAAACAAATAACAAATAATACAAATAATCTACAGCAAGATTATATATACATATATATATATATATATATATATATATATATATATATATATAAATGAAAGATTGAATTAAAAAAATTTGAAAACTGAATAAAAATATATTATTATATCAACTGAAAATAACTGTATTATGTACAAGTATTATGTTTTCCATAAATACAGTGAAATTGCTTAATTGTCCCTTGCACTTAGCTGAAATTAAAGTTTTAAATAAACAAACAAACAAACAACCATCCCCACACACACATGTACACAAGTTTTAAGACATCTGCCTTTACATGCGCACAAACTTGAATAACATCCCAGTCTTAATCCGTAGGGTTTAATATGGAGTTGGCCACCGTTTGCAGCTTTAACTCTTCTGGGAAGGCTTTTCACAAGGTTTAGAAGTGTGTTTATGAGAATTTTTGACCATTCTTCAAGAAGTGCATTTGTGAGGACAGTCCCCTTTAATTCATTTTTTAAAAATGCTGTATTGGGTTGAGATCAGGACTCTGTGGAGGCCAGCCATGTTCCTCCACACCAAACTCCTCTTCCACCTCTTTATGGACCTTGCTTTGTAATTACACACTGATTCATAATCAGAGAAAGGGGCATTCATCAAACAGTTCCCACAAAGTTATATATGAAACTGTCTAAAAATCCTGGAATGATGAAGCATTAATAGTTCCCCAAATCCCCCTTCTACCAAACTTTACGTGTGGCACAACAGAAGTACTATTCCACTGCTAAAATTGAAGAGTGATTGGCTTTAGAGTCCAGTGGCAGCTTACTTGACACCGCTGCATCTGACAATTTGCATTGAACATTTTTGCAGTGGTATAAGGTAGGGCTGGGCCGATAAACCATAATATATCAAATCATGATCAAATTTATGTCAATAAAACAATGATAAGCTCTGGACTTTTTTACTCAATATTGATCTAAAAACCAACCACAAAGCAGAAATGTGCAACAATAGGAATCTAAAACTGTGTTGATATCAGAGATGTACTGAAATTATGTTATGACATTTAATGGACCCTCTAGTTTTTGTGGCTTCGGTCATTGTTGGGGTACTCTTTTAAATCTGGAATCAATAACAATGTATATCTAAATATATAAAGTTATCATTCAATATAGAAAATAATTATTGAGATTGCATTTTTTGCCATATCACCCAGGCCTACTATAAGGCATGCAGCTGCTTGGCTACTATAGTTTGGAGATCTGTAGTTAATGACTCTACAGAAAGTTGACAAATTCTGAGGATCGTGCTCCTCAGCATACACGGACCCTACTCTGTGATTTTGCATGGCCTACCATTTTACAGCTGAGCTACTATTGTTCCTAAAGGCTTCTAATTTGTAATAATACAACTAACAGTTTACTGTAGAATGTTTAGTGGTGGGGAATTTCACAAATGAACTTACTGTACAGGCAGCAGCCTATCACAGTACCACTTCTGAATCCACTAAGCTCCTGAGAGCGACCCACTCTTTCACAAATGTTTGTAGAAGCAGCCTGCAATCCTAGGTGATTGATTTTATACACGTGGCCATAGAAAAGATTTTTTTTGACAAAAGAGACAGGGTTTGTGTGCATGTATATACAGGGTTTCTACAGATTTCATCAAGTCAAACTTAAGACATTTTTAAGACCTTTTGAAGACCCTTTTGAATGTAATTTTAGACTTACACAAGGCTCAACGCAAAGGATTTTTTTCTAATGGTCAGGTTAAAACATAAAAAAACATTAAAGGTTTAGGACACCCTGGAGAACTTTTTTTTTTTATATTAACAGATTTGTGTGTGTTGAGCATCAGTTAAGACAATGTTAGCACCTGTCAGCTTTAATTGTGGGGAAAACTGGATAATTTTGAGCTTTTGTCAGCTAATTTCAGCTTCCGGGTTTAAAATAATTTTTGAGGCGGGATCAAAATCGGCGACGTAGCGCAGTACTGCTAGTGCAATGATGACGCGTCGGTTTCTCATTATTATTCATAGCGGAGTTTTCTTATCCTATGAGAAGAGCCGGCTGCTTAATTATTCATGAAAGCACGTGCTTTCCGAAGGCAGACCTAGACTTTAACCGAAAGAGGGGGGTGTCATGGCCCTTTAAAACTACTTTTATTGTACGAAAGATATTTAAACTATATTTTTATAAATAGCAATATGAATAGAGCAGGTAATTAGTAATTAGCTGGTAGTTAATAATATAATAAAAAACCTTTGGTTGGAATGATAGTGATTGGATGTGTGTTGGCCTGATTGGGTGTCTTTACATGGACATAGGAAAATTAAGACCTGTTTAAAATGATTTAAGAACCACAAAACAACATTTCAGTAAATTTAAGACATTTTAAGACCATGCGGATACCCTGTATATATTACTATTAACTATATTACTATTACAGTTAACTATTTCAGTTTCAGTGTATTTCAGTTTATTTCAAGCAACAAAAATTAATTTTGGTTTCATGCTTTTAGTTTACCAATAAAAACCATGCTTCAAACAGATCCACTAAGGTTAAATAGTATATTGTTTGAACATCGATATCACAACGTGTGTATTTGCAATAAAAACCTTTTAGATTGTTTAATAAAGATTAAAAAAAAAGATAATATGAAACATATATATATATATATATATAAATATATATATATATATATATATATATATATATATATATATATATATATATATATATATATATATATATATATATATATATATATATATATATATATATATATATATATATTTATTTTTATTTATTTTTTTTTTTTTTTATACAATGACAACCATGTTTATTTACAATTGATCTCTCAATTTCTGTACTTGAACATTGTTAGAGTCCCCAAAAAACCATAGAGCATTGTTTATTTGTTTTTGCTTATATTATTTTTTTAATGCAGAACTACTGCATAAAAAAAGACTTGATCATCCCAGTCAATCTAAATAAATGAAACCTTACCAAACAGAGCTACTTACATAATCTAGTGAAATGATATTCATATTGCAATCCACTTGTTAAGTCGTGACGTATCGGTGACGTATGAAATACTGTTTCCAGGTCCAAGCAGCTATTGATTTGAATAGAGAAAATATTTGTTTATGGCCACTTTCTAGTCATATCACAAATTAAAGTTAATTTTACATAAAATCGTGGTGTACACAACAGTCACTGGACTTGCTGCATCACAAATATCAAAATTTTAAACAATTTATAAAACATTTATCACTTTCTGGCCATCTGATATTAGGCATGATTTTATTTTATATATTGCTTTTTTCGAAAGTAAAACATCGCTTTTTAAATGTTTATTATCTCCATTTGCTGGGCCTCCCCATATAGTTTAGTATAGAGCTTGGACCCAGAAGCTGCTTTGCATGGCGTCACACTTAATATAGTGGATAATGGATATATTTCACAGCAAAACGAAATAATCGCAATGTAAAATTTCTCCAATATTTTGCAGCCCTAATATAGACCATTAAGGCACGTACCTGACATTCAACACATTAAAACAGGCAGCTGCACGTACATCATAAAACAATCTTCCTCTTCTCACCTTCAGGCGTCCAGACGAGTCTGACTGCCAGAAAGTCCTGCAGGTTGTTGAGTAGTGTATATCGCACCCGGAAGTTCTCTCGGGTCCTGACTGCACTGGGACAGCTGGCGGTCATGATGAAGCGCGGCCGGTCCAGTCTGATGCTCGGCAGACTATAGTGAGTGTAGATGGAGTTGGTGAAGGGCAGTTTAGACGTGGACCACTGTAAAACTGCAACTAATGGCACCTCCAATCCCTGCAGCAATAAAATATATGACTTCAGAATTCAATAAAAATAAATTAACAACATTAACAGTTGTAAATTAGCAAAAATGACAAGTGAAATAGATTTCTGTCTAAAAATGTGAGTGTCGCTCACCTCATTTGAATCATCCTGTGGCTGGTTATTGAGCTGCAGCTGAAAGAGGAAGTTCTGCTCCTCTAGAGCGCTGAGCATGCTGGGAAGATGACTGGACTCACTGTCCATTCTATAAAATGATGCCATTGCAACCTCTCCTGACTGATGACTGCAGGAGATGAACAATAAGATAAACATGGATGTAAAATCTCTCGGCTCATCAAGCGTTGGGATAATGTTTATAGCAGCAAAATATATTTTAAACCAAAAAACTACTAAAATCTAACTATTTACTGAATTCTAACTAATTCTAAATTCAAACCAAACTTAGTTAACTAAATTAACTAACTGCTAAATATTCTAAATGAAATATTAACACATTTACCTTTGGAGGTACTAAAGCTTCATCAAGAGTTGATTGTGTATTCAGTTCAATTCAATTCAATTCAATTCAATTTAATTCCATTTGTATAGTACTTCAAAAAAATTAATGTTTTAAAGCAGCTCTAGAAATGGTGCCCATTATTGCACTACAATCAAATAAAGGTTATTAGTTGCCATAACTTTATTAGTGACTAATAACTTTAATAATTAACTAGTATTTAATAGATTGCAAAGTAGTGTAAATAATTTTATTCACTGATTTAGTTTGTTCTGCTTTTTCTGTATTGGAATAATCTACCACTTAACATTAGAGTCCTACCTTAGCAAAATTCAAGTTGCAGTTGAAATGCTGGTTAAAATGCATCAAGTGTGCGACCATTAAGTGGGGGTTTATCATTTAAATATTAATGCAGTTAATTTTATTTTGATATTGTGTTTACGTTATGTGATTTGTAATTGTTTTTCCTGCCCATGGACAGTTGTTGCTAGATCAGAAATGGTTGTGGCCAGAAGTTGACGAGAATTATTTATATTATTAAATTGCCCGATAATTGTGTTTTATTAACGTCTACCGCTACTCCAACCATCATAGTAATGTAAAAACAGTAGTTGTACAGAGTATTAATGATGTGATCTATAAAATTACCCAATAAATTGTATTGTTTTACCGTCTACCCTACTCCAACCTTAAACCAACCATCACAGTAATGTAAAAATATGAAATATTGTTATACAGAGTTACAAAAATGATGCAATATTGACTTTAAACCAGGGACTGCAGATTAAATTTACTTATGTAGCCAATTCTGGGGCAGTCCTTTGATTGTAAATGTCCTTTGTCAAATAAAGAATTAAAATTTAAAAATACAATAAAATAAAAAGTATACTAACATCAAATGGGGAAATGCTTACATGTGCTTTTATTTATTTATTTTTAACAGCTTGTAATGCACAATAAATATTTTACTAAAGGTTTAAAATTTGGTTTTGTCTAAAAGAAACAGTCCTGATAAATGGTTAAAGTCAAAATGAAATTAAACCAAGTAATTTTTTGTTTTAAATTTGCAGTTTAAAAGCTTTGTAAAATTAAAGTTAAAAGATGATTAAACTTCTGCTTACAAAAAATAATGTGTGAGTGTGTGTGTGTGTGTGTGTGTGTGTGTGTGTGTGTGTGTGTGTGTACATATAATTTTTTTTTTTTTGTTATTTTCTGTCTAAAAACCTCAAAGGTAAATTTGGCAAGAAATATGAGATTGTCAAAGCAAAATATGAGAACTAATAACCTCCAAAAAGTTACACACTAAAATAAACCTTCAGAACCTAAGGACTGTTAAATTGAGTAACTTTTTTTCTGTTGATGACTGAGACCAGCTACTCTGACAACAATTTAATGAAGTAGAGGGGATGGTTTTTATGTGCACTTCTTTCAAAATTTTGGAATTCATCATTGATTTAACAAGTGTGTGAAGTCCCACATTTCTCCCTTACCAAACATTGTCCACCAGCAGCACTGATCCATCTGGCATCATCGGTAAGTACGAAGCATTAAAGTTGGGTAGGATCTTGACATCACGCACACACACTTCCTCTTGCGAGCTCCCGTTTAACACTGAAACAGTCAGATGTTCATATCTACATAAACAGGATGTCTGTCACATAAAGATACAGGAAACCATGAAGATCAAACAAAGGGTTAATCCAGAGCACCTATTGTCTGACAGTTGAAACATTCTACAGCAAATTCACTATCGCAAAACTTTGTTTAGGACTTTGAATGAAACAAGTATTATATTTTTCCATATGTAAAGTACTTAAACATTTTTGACAGATTAAAAGAAAGAACAATATAAAAAGAGTCATACATGCATTTCAAAATGCACAAACAAACAGTGCATCCTGACAATATTCACAGCTATTGACTTTTTCAATAATTTACTATGTTAATAAAAGCCACACTTAATTATAACAAATTAACAATTATATGCATAGTTTCTACAAACAGTACTGCATGATGACAATGTAAAAAAATGTTTGTTAGAAATATTTGTAAAATAAAAAATGTACATAAGGATTCACCATTGCTCAATGTTTTGTTTAAGCACCTTTGGCACAAATGACAGATTCAAGCCTTTTTGAATATGATACCACAAGCTTGGCAGACCCATTTTGGGCAACCCATACTGCGTTGCATTAAAGAATAAGGTCAATATAGACAGATGTGTGTCTTTCCAAAGCATGAACAATCAAATCAATTTGCTATAGATGGATTTCGATCAACCTGCAGAAAAAAAACCTCAAGAATAATTAAGATGGAAACCAAATGCAACGGAGCTCAATTTTGAGCATCATAGTAAAGGCTGTAAAAAATGTATGGGAAGTTTACTTCTAAACTAATTTCAATAGGATCACTTGCTTATGATAGACCGCTGCTGGTCTCGCATTAGCTAACGCAGGATTCACCAATCAGATAATTCCTAATAACCAGAGTTTATTACTTTAGTTATCTTCGGCTTGAAGAATCCCCACTTCCACGCTTACTCGTCCTTTCTTTTCCTCAATAAGGCAGCACAGCGGCCCAGTGGTTAGCACTGTTGCTTCACAGCAAGAAAGTCACTGGTCCAAGTTTCTAACAGGCCAGCCAACGTTTCTGTGCAGAGTTTACACATACTGCCTGTGCTTATTTGGTTTTTCCCCGGGTTCTCGGGTTTCCTCCCACAGTCACATAGGTGAATTGACCAAACCAAACTACCATAGATGAGCTCTTAATCAGCAGTATATCTCTCGATAGCAATGCCTAATTTGTCATTAGTCAGAGCAGGGGAGTTAGCAGGAAAGTTCTTGAGACCTACCTGAGCTCAAACTCCCCTCTCACCCAGCAAATGGAAGAGAGCCTCAGGCACGAGGATCTTATAAGCTCAGGGCTCTCTCCCGGGACAGCATGCCAAACAGGCTTTATAATCAATCATCAGCTAAACGTGAACTCTTGATGTACATGTAATTTTTAGCTTTCTTTCTTTCTCAACTCAAGGAATGCAGAGAACTGACTTGCATTCTCATGGAGACCGATCTTTCCAAGTCACCTCGGAAAAAAAACTCAGGAGACCGCGAGAACAGAGAACGCGTACTGTAAGAAATAAGATGCTGCGTTCTTCCTGATGGTCACATGACCTTCATGCATTTTTAATGGAAAATTATTCTAACATTACAGCATTTTTAAGATATATAAATATAAACTGCAAAAAAAGCCTTACATATATACGTTGCACAATACAAATAGAATACATTTTAATATGAATTTCAGCAAATAAACACCCTTAATGTGTTTATGCCTTTATTAAGATTTTCATGTTTACTTTCATCGTCTAATTTAGGGAAACTCCTGAGATAATCAAGTTATATCTCTGAATTGTATCATAAAAATGCTGTGCTTCCCACCTTCTTTATTCAGTCACAAAGACTTTTGGAACTTCTACAGCGAGTTCTGCACTCAAGCTGCATAGATGCATCCTCGATATCAAGAAGACATCCAGGTTCTTTCATGTGTCCTCGGTTCTTGTGATCTTGAGTTTTTGAACTGAACTTTAGCAGTTGATAATGATGTTACACAACAACACAAGATCGATTAAGAATGCATATTGGGAAACAGCCATTGTCATTATGGGGTAATGATTGTAGAATGTTTGAGAAATATATTGAATTTCATCTATTTTGGAATGAGGCTGAAACATTTGAACCCTATTACTGACTGTTAATCATGGTTTAAAAGCATAATTTACAAGAGTTATGAAAACAGAGCTGGCATTACCTTTGAGAACAGTTAAATGTCTCCCTGAAACAGTCATTTGCTGACACTTCACTGTTGGGGGCGGCAAGACGTTCAGTGTGGTGCTGACTGTTGGAAAACAACAGAAAAGTACATCAGTATAAAACACAAATTAAAGCAAAGTTATACAGTTCAAAATGTCTTTTTAATTAATGGCATTTCAAAAGTGTGTGTTACACAGCAGAAAAAACAAATGACACGGTCAAGAATATAATAGAACAGCAGATTAAGCGGCAGAGAAAGGAGAAATAATGAAAAGAATGAGACGGCTATGAAGTGATGAGAGAAAAGGCAGATCCCCAAGGTCCTGAATCAATAATGCCATTAAGCAGTGTTGTGCTGAAGGAAGCAAACGCAAACCCTGTGCTTTGAAGGTGTTCAGGTCCTGACGAAATGTTTGGCAGGGGCTCTTTTGTTGGAGGATGCTGAGGTAGCCATGTTCCTGGATCTCAGCTTTCTCTTCTTCTTGCTTCCACACAGTTACAATTATCTGCATCGAGGTAACACGCACGCACGCACACACACACAATCAGAAGTGTTAACAGCAACACATGCATGCACTACAGTTGCAAACTAAATCTCACACTTCCGACTCAGAGTACCTTTAAACATCCTACTGTATATCTAAAAAATATTTCACTACATTGTAACATTATCACTTTAAATATATAACTAAATTATATATTTGACTGACTGCTTTTAAACAAAACTCTTACGCTTACATACAAAGAAACGCTTACATTTGCAAACTGTTTAAATTTTGAATAAGGGATGAATCATTTTGAGCGCAAACGAATTTCTTGCACACACACAAATACACTCACACACTAAAACTGCTTTGCTTAAGAATCATGCAAACATGCACCACGTGTCAGCAACACAAATGTGTCAAAGAATGTGAGACTGATGGTTTTAGTTCCTTCCTGTTCTAATTATACCAAAGTACACAACCTTATGAATGTACCAAAGAACACACACACACACACACACACTCTAACATACACACACGTCATCCTACCTTCACTTTGAGAGTGTTGACAGGGAGCTTATCCAGAGACACAGTCAGAGGAAAGATTACTTCATCGCTTAAAACGACAGGCTCGTCCACAGGAGACTGAGAAACCAAAATAAGACATCTACGGTGAGAGACTGAAGGAGATCAGACACTATGCTATGTTGTACTGCGATAACGTGTAGTCTTGGCCTATAAGGGCTTTATGCAATGGCCTGTAAAGTCTGACTTTTGGTGCATTTAAAATGATTTGCACTATGAGGTGTGACTAGCAAGAAAGCAGAGTAAATAACAGACTAAGCCCTCATTTCACATTGTAGGTTTGCACCACCCTTACCTACTGTATAGTCTGTTTGGGAAACCAAACAAGTGAAAAACATGAAAGCATCAAACTTTTGCTATGTAAAAAAAAACACATCATCCTATGAAATAATAACTGTTTACTGCAATGTGTGACATAACTGGTTATAAAGAACCTATTTGACTCTCAAGATGTAAGTTTGCAGATGTTATTTAGGTTGTGTGTGGTTTCATTGTGCTGGGGTTTACAGGCTTTACCAGGGTTGGTGGCAAGCCAAAAGCACTGAAAAAACACTGGCTTGCTATGAAACCTACAGTATGGTGATTTTAAAATATAAAAATTAAAAAATAAAATGTAGTAAAATGCTGACTTTAAAGCAAATGTTCGTATTCATGGTGTTATGCCACTTAATATGCATATATTCAATTTAATATTCTATATGCCGCCATTTCATGGTGGTTATACAACTTATAAAACTGTAATAAAGTAATAATTTAAGAGCAACACAATTATTTGTATTTTAATAGATTTACAGATTAAACTAAAAAGTAGATTCTAGGGATGCACCAATCAATTGTCCACAGATCAGTATCGGCCGATAATCCCATTTAATGACTGGATCAGTACTTGCTGATCTGGCCAATCTCATGAACCGACTGCAAGTGATTGTTTACGAGTTTACATGCAGAGGAAGATGCACATGCACACCTGTATATTATACATAAGCAGCGCTACAACATGTGAGGGGGTAATTGATGTGTGAGGACATAAGCAATCAATGTTCTTGCATCACAGCAGCTAAAATAAATACAGATGTGGTTCTGTGCAATCATTCTGTTGCTGTCAAAGGTTGGAGGTGAGCAAAATAACTCATTGGCCTTGCATGTATGTAGGCGTTTTTACATATAAGAAATGAAAGTTCTGTGTTGCAAGTTCACTAAAACCTGTCCGGAACATTTTTAACTTGTATATTTAATTATATAACTTTTGTAATATACTTATTGAAACAAACCGTATTTATTAGCCTATTTCCTTTTAGTTAAGAAGCAATATATTTATCGGTGTCCACTTTAACTTATGCATCAAATATGCACTTCAAACTTTACTTTAGTGAGACATGTTGAATTCTTCTTCCATAATTTGCAATGTTTCTAAATTCCACTGTCAATAATTTTCCTTAGCAATTTTTTTTGTCCGTTTTATCTATTATTTTCTGCTCCTTCTGACCATGACATGTCCTCACTAAATGGTTATAAGAGACGTGTAAGGAATTATATCCAACATACTTTATTTATATAGGTAAGGCTAAATCTTATGATACTTGAGGGAAACTGCATTTTAAAGCTTAAAGCATCAGAATGGGTACTTGATATTGCCCGATCACCTTGACAAGGACTACTCGGTATAGGATGCAAAATCCTGATCGGAGCATGCCTAGTAGGTTCCCAATTAACTGCAAAGAAGGTCGATCCAAATTTAAAACTTTAGATAAAAAAGGCCAACACAGAGATAATGAAGGCCTTGAAGTAAAAAAAAAATTTTTTGAGTGTGTTCTACTTCTCTCCTATAGACTGATTTAGTTCATATGTTTTATATTCATGGCTGATTCTAATTTGTTTCAAAAGTATCAATGATTTTGAGTTTTAGATGTTAGTTTATTTGTGTGGACACATGAAGTGTTTAATAATCTTGAATCAGTTTAAACTGAAGCTGGTTGTTCATATTTTGACTTTTTGTTTTTAACACCACACATTTATTTATCAGCTCACGGGTGAACCTTTGCTGTGAAGCCTTATTAACTTTTCAGGGTTCTGCAGGTTTCATTAATGCTAAATTCAGTATTTATAAATATCAAGTTCAAATATTTAAGGAATAGATGAAATGTAGCTACACATCAAGCAGGACTCAAAATGTGAAAATAGCTTAACGCTTGAATATTTCAACACTACACTACACTACTAGAATATGGAAATAACTTACGTTACTTGTTGATTGCACTACAAACACCTCCAGTGTTTTTACTTTGTTTTCAATGCAAATATCATAATGGGAGGTCCTGTTTTAAAGAAATGTATTCAAATAAAATGAGTTTATGCTTAAATTCAAAACAAATATCTGCCAATGGGGTCTGAACAATATACGTGGAAAAACACTATTTCATTCCAGTTGGCAGATTATTGTTATTGTCTTGAGCATAAACTTCTCAGAAAAGGACTTCATGTCTTCTCTTTGCATTTTTAGATATTTGATTCACACTTGTTAAATAACTACTTTATATAGCTTTATTTTTACATTCTTAGGGGATACGTTTCGGCACAATGTCTTCCTCACTGAGTAATTATTTAACAAGTGTGAATCATGAACTTCTGAGTGAAATATTATCAAGATTATTAACAAGATTATCAACAAACCAACAATTAAAAAAAGCGCTAAAGCACAGTGCATGCTTCATCACTGTATTTGAAAACAATCTTAAATACTTGATCAGTACTTGATTTCTCGAAGATTGAGTGCATTCCTATTTATCAATGAATTTCATAGTGAATAAACCATTACTAAATGCACCTACAGGGATTTAAGGGAACGTTCACCTATAATGAACATTCATTCACCTTTGGTTTAGTCTCTATTTTAGAGGTCACCACAGTGGAATGAACTGCCAACTATTCCAGCATATGTTTTATGCCGCCGATGCTCTTTCAGCCGCAACCCAGTGCTGGGAAACACCCATACACTCATTCTCTCTCACACACACACACACACACACGCTCATTCACTTCAGCCAATTTACCTATAGCGCATGTCTTTGGATTGTGGGGGAAACCAGAGCACCCAGTGGAAACCCACATGAACATGCAAATTCCACACAGAAACGCCAACTGACCGAGCTGAGACTCAAACCAGCGACCTTCTTGCTGTGATTTGACAGTGCTAACCACTGAGCCACCGTGCCACCCCTATAATGAACATTTGATGTAAATTTCTTCACCCTCATCTCAACAGTTTCGTATTGAATTTAAAATATTACTTCTCACCTATAAAGCTCTAAATAATCTAGCTCCTGTTTATCTAACCAACCTTCTGTCTCGCTATGAACCAACTCGCTCTTTAAGATCTCAAAACTCAGGGCTTCTGGTAGTACCTAGAATAGCAAAGTCAAGTAAAGGAGGTCGAGCCTTCTCTTTCATGGCTCCTACACTCTGGAATAGCCTTCCTGATAACGTCCGAGGCTCAGACACACTCTCCCAGTTCAAAACTAGATTAAAGACCTATCTGTTTAGTAAAGCATACACTCAATGCATCACCTAGCGGGTTCCACACAGGCTTCTGCATCTTGCTTATATACACTATGAACAGCTGCTACGCTAATTATTCTCTTTATTCTCTATTTTCACCTGGGGATACTCATCCCGAGGTCCTCAGATTAGGCGGAGTCACTGATTGGATCCAAGACCAGCGACGTGATGATCCCAAGGATTCCATATCCGGGACCAGGCCATATCCTGAGCTGCTGCTGCGCTGATGGTCGTGGGGAGTGGAGAACATGTGTCTGATTCCAGCGACGCTCCAGGGACAGACGAGTCTTCATTGAGGCCATCTTCCAGCATAAACCACGGCGAATGAAGTTCTGCACAAGACTTTTGGCCAGAGGAGAAATTAAAATGGTCGTGCCCAACTGAGTCTGGTTCTCTCAAGGTTTTTTTTCTTCACTCCCATCAGGTGAAGTTTTTTTTCCCTCTCCGCTGTCGCCACTGCCTCGCATGGTTCAGGATTGGTAGAGCTACGCATCGATGAATTTGCTCTTCAGTGTTTGAACTCTCAGTAATGATTAAATCACACTGAACTGAGCTAAACTGAACTGAACTGAACTTAAACACTAAAACCTGAACCACACTGTTCCAGTTACTGAACCACACTGTTCCAGTTACTATGACCATTTATGTGAAGCTGCTTTGACACAATCTACATTGTAAAAGCGCTATACAAATAAAGCTGAATTGAATTGAATTGAACTAAGAGGTGACTTCATTCTTCAATAGAAATTATTTTTACCTGAATCTGTTTTCCATGGTTATGTATACTGAACAGCTATCGGCACTTGGAGTCACAAAGTGAGAGAAAAACACATGAAGGCAAAAAAAAAACAAATCCTCGTGTCTCCAGATGACACCTCGAGGCCTTATGAAGTGAAATAAACTGTGCAAGAAACTGATCATTATTAACAACACTATTATCTTTAATCTGCAGCCTCAGCAGTAATTTGATCATGAACACCTTGTCTCATAATGATGTGTGTGGACTCGCTCAGAGCTGATGCTGTTTGTTTTGTTCAGCAGGATCTGTTGTATTATTTATTAAAACGGTACTTGTGCTAATGCTGGATGCTGCAGCCTATATAAAAGTGTTTTCCTCTGCTACCTTATTTAGTAAGATTTTCTTTTTCACAGATTATAAACATTTAATAAACATTATTAAGCAACAAGAACCCATACATAGGGCGATATGGTGGCTCAGTGGTTAGCACTGTTATCTCACAGCAAGAAGGTCACTAATTTCAGTCCCGGCTGGGTAAGTTGACGTTTCTGTGTGGAGTTTATATGTTCTCCCCATGTTTGCGTGGGTTTCCTCCAGGTGCCCCTGTTTCCCCCTCAGTCCAAAGACATGCGCAATAGGGAAATTGGATGAACTAAATTGGCTGCAGTGTGTAAATGTGAGTGCAGGGGTGTTTCCCAGTGCTGGGTTTTAACTGGTATCTGCTGTGCAAAACATATGCTGGAATGGCTGGCGGTTCACTGTGGTGACTCCTAATAAATAAGGGACGAAGCAGAAGGAAAATGAATGAATGAAATCATATGTATTTGTCTTAATTTGACATGTTTTAGTCATTTTAATGTGTCAGAGCTACTGACTTCCTAAACAGCTATGGTTTCAGCTGCGTTCTAGTTAAGTTTTTTGTGAACTGTCCCTTTAAAGTCAACACTGCTGTAGAAACAAGCAGCATTAAGCTCACATGGCAGCATTTTGGCCTACAACAGCAAGCCCTTTTCTATAACCACTGCACTTACAAATTAGGACAGAAACTTGCATGTATGCCAAACATAACAAAAGGCAAACACACACACATCCATCCATAAAACATTACAACAGGAAATGTCAACGTTACTTCCGTGTTGACAGATCAAGATCAGGATTTGAATGTACATCAGATATCACCCTCTCAGCTCTATTAGGAACAGCTATCCTCCATCATACAATGTGGTTTGTTTATCTAAGCACCTGCACAGGAGCTCTGCGGAACTCCCTCACACCGTTGCCTGGGTTGTTGTGAATGAGCAGCGGTTTGCACTCCCTGAAGCCCCGGTACCTCGGCCCCCCTCGCCCCGGGCAGCCCACCGCCTCCGCAGCATCATCCTCGTCTGTGTCCTCCACGCACTCGTCCCCGCTGCTGTGGTAGTCGTGGTACAGAGGCTGTGTGCGCTGCCGGCTGTCGCCAGGGCTCACGCTGGCCACGGCGCTCAGAGAGCCGGCCAGCTCCCTCCACGAGCGGCTGCTGTGCTGCTCTGAGCCGCAGCTGCCATCACTCGAGCCGGACGCGGACTGGGAGCGCAGGACCAGAAGAAAGCGCACGGTTTCCCCGAGGTAAAGGTGACTGCGGCGCGGAAGAGTGCGGTATTTAGCCGGGTCCGACAGATCTGAGATGGGCACCGCCGGGAAATACATAAAGTACTCGCATTGCGATTCCATCATCAACACCATTGACCATCAGAGAGCGAGCGCGCGCGCACTGCAGGCAGACGCACAGCCGAGGTATCCGGTTAGCAGACTGTAAACAACGCTCCCATTCAATAAAGAGTTGCTTTGAATTCATCAAACGCGCGCCAGCTTCCGGGTCAGTTATTATTAGGGTTGACTGGAACTCATAAAAATTACATTCGTCTTATTTTGCCCCATTTTCGCTCGTCTGCCAGCCCAGTTGACGTATACAATACATTCAAAGTGCGCTATATGACAGGCGAGCTTATCGAGCTCAGATGAAGTAGAGCTGACGACAGACGAGATTAGTCGACTGTCGATGAAGGTCAACTTTATTGTCTATATGTATAAAGGTTGGTTTTAGATCAGTTTTGTGATTTGTTTACTTTTTTTTACTATTTGTTGTGGTGTGTATGCAGCTGAAATAAATAATATTATATCAAACAAATTAACATGTTTTTAAAGGTAGATAGTTAATCTCCCCCCACAAATGGAAAATCTGTCATCCTTTATTCTCTCTTCACTTGTCACAAACCTGTTTGAGTTTCTTTCTTCTGTTCAACATTAAATATATTTAAAAGGAAGCAGGCAACCTGTAACTACTGACTTCTGTTGTATTTGTTTCTCCTACTGTGGAAGCCAGTGTGGTGAGGGAGTGCGGGGCACAAAGTAACACTTTTTGGTTTTGGTCAAATAATGAACAAGTAATGGGGTTAGACAAACCCTATTTTTTACCAACAACACACAAGCTTCTCCTTCAAATAAGCACAGTTGGACCTGTGTTTTCTGCGCAGTATTGCCAAAAATGGCAGGAGTAAAAATGCTACTAGTCAATTTACCCTTGCTACTACTCTATTTACCCTGTTAAGTTGTAACAGACAGAGGGTTATATAGTTGTAACATGTGCTTATAAAGTCAGATTTCACACAATTAATTTAAATTCAGTTTACTTTTAAATAGTATATTTCCTCAGTAGGTTACTGTAACTCATTTTTTTACGCTATATAGCACAGTATGTTTATTTATTTATCTTCCGAATAACCACATTCTGATGTATTTGCAATATTATCAATTATTATACAATAGATTTTTGCAGTTTTAGCAAGACAATGTTTGTTTTCTAATTTTTTAAAAATATATTAAAAACGTCCTCATCATTACACTCAAAATTCAAAAATGATTTTGTTAGTTTATTTGGTGTTATACAGTGTGTGGTTAATGTGTAACATCCTGTTACAACTAACCAAGTTGTGTTTTCCTCAAACTAGCTAGCAGTCACTGTGTGCTTTTCACATCTTTCAAAATGGTTTAATCTTCTAGCCTAGAAGACGGTTCTCACAACAGTATAAGAGTTTACGTACATACTTTCACAGATTTAAAAAAAAGAAAAAATATTGACTATAATAAAAAATACTTTTATGCTACAAAAATTGTTTCCCTTGTGTTTCTCATCCATATTTCACCAAACTTTTTCAATAATTGGCAGGAAGACATCTGTTGACACAGTGGTGAAAACCTCAGAAGCATGTGATGGTTAACACTAAGCAAATACCTTAAAACTGTGTTACATTTTACCCTGCGTTCCCCTCTCTCCCTACATGTTTTCAGCTTTCTTCGAAATATCTCCCTTTGCGTTCAACAGAAGTGAATAGTGTATACATTTTCATTTTTGGTGGAACTGTCCCTTTAAGGTACATTTCAAAGGATTGAAAACAACCATTTCTTTAGTACTTTTGAAGCATTTCTTAGTATTATCAAGGTTTTAAAGCACAGGTCTCAAACTGGATTCCTGGAGGGCCGCTGCTCTGCACAGTTTTGCTCCAACCATAATTAAACACAGATGATCCAACTAATCAAGGTGTTCAAGACTACTGGAGACTATTAAGCAGGTGTGAGTTGGAGGTGGTTGGAGATAAACTAGGGCTGGGCCGATAACCAATATTATATACCATCGCGATAAACATTTGTCAGTAACAATGATAAGCTCTGGACCTTTTTACTCTATATTGATCTAAGAGCCAATCACACAGCAGAAACAGGAATCTAAAAGTGTGTTGATATTGCCCTACTTTAAGCACAGTTTGGGAGGGCTTTTTTACTTTCTTTTTTTCCCATTGTATCTTATTTCCTATTTTTCTATGTTACCTCTCGACTGACCTATCTTTTCCTGAATTGTGTGATGTTTGTGTATGGTCAGAGGGGTCCAGTTTCGCTGCATGTAACAGTGTTGTGACAAATAAAGGCTCATTATCATATTAGAGATGTATCTTATGTATTCTTACCGAAAATATGTTATGCCATTAAATTGACCCTCTAATTTTTGTGGCTTCAGTCATTGTTGGGGTACTCTTTTAAATCTGGAAGCATTAAAAACTTATATTGAAATATATAGTTATCAGTAAATATGGAAGATAATTATTGAGATTGCATTTTATGCCATATTGCCCAGCCATAAGCTGTAGTGCGGAGACCCGGAAGGGAAGTGATGGTGGGGGAAAAACGGGTGGATGAAAAAAAAAATCTGGGTGGGAGAAAAAAAAAACAGAGTGATAGGAAAATATATATGTGAAAGTTTTTGTATTCCCTTGTAAAGATGTTTTTCCACAAACACTTCCTGTTCACTTCATACATGTCAACACTCTCGTTTTTGCAGGGATTCACCATTATATCCCACGATCATCCTATCATTAAATTGTTTTCCTATTTTTCTGATATACACGCAGAAATTAATTTAAAAAATTGCCTGCATTCACTTTCTTTCCATTAAAGCTATGCGTCAATCATAACCCTTCATATGCAACCTCTCAATCAGTGAATTTATGTATAAGCGTTGACTGACCGACATGCTCCGTATGATAAACTGATCCCAGATCAGCTTCAGTACACGCCAATTAAAAAGGAGCGAAAGTGCAGGACACTTTCGTATTCGGGTGTGTGTTTAAACAGACAAATACACTAATATTATCTTAAATGAGCACAAACAGTTACAGTAATTGAATGCTTTTGTTAGCTTAATGATCTGTGCATTCTTAAAATGACGCCTTTTGTTATCAAACAAAATAAAATGAGAGATTTATTTGCTGCTCTTCACTTGTTTGATAACAGAAGTGTCATTTTAAATGGCAAGTACAGAAGCTGATTTGGGATCAGTTTATCATACAAAGTGTGTCTTTGCATTCCCTTGGAAAACATTCTCGCGAGGGAACACAAAAACTTTTTTAAAATATATTTTCCCATCTCTCTTTGTTTTAAAACTTTTTTTACTCCCATAGTTCTTTTTTCTTCCGTCCATATTTTTTCTTCCACCTATTCAACCCCCTTTCCCCTCACCCCGCCTAAACCCCCACCCCGCCCCACCATCACGTCCCTTCCAGGTCTTCGCAGTAAACTGTGCAGAGCTGTGGCCCTCCAGGAATTGAGTTTGAGACCAAAGTTTTCTCTAAACCATTATGATTTTTTTTCTTCAGGATTCTTGAATGAACAGAAAGTGCATAAGAACATTAACTTCAAATAAGCTACAAGACTTTTGTAAGTATAAATGTATTCAGTGTCATATTTGATCAGTGCTTTGTTTCTGAATAAAATTATTAATTTCTATTAAAAACTAGTACTTTCCACAAAAATGATTATTCAACACTAGGCGTATTAATAATAGAAAGTATTATTGTGCACTAAATTGTACCAGATTCATTAATTCACTCATTTATAAATCCACTGTTTATTTTTATGCATTTTTTCCCTCTATTCCTCAGCCATTATATTTACTTAGCCTGTTTGATTTAAGCCAGCTTATTATATTTACTGATATTAATGCATGCATGTTTACTTTGAATAATGTAATAGAAAGCTAAACACAGTTGTCTTTGAGAGTATTATTTGTTCTTCACGTGCTCACTAAGTTTTTATTTGCAGATTTAAAGGTCACAGGTGTGGTGTGAGAAGCATTCATGAAAACACATATGCAAACCTACAGTTCCAGCCCATTTTTCCATTGTGTTTTAATCTGTGAATTAATTCTGAATCCTGTACTTTCAGAGATCCTGATAAGCCCACCATGCTATTGGAAGACATTTAAAACACACGCATCACATGTAAAATGTAGTTTTATTTTACTACAGACAAGTAAACCAGGTTCATCACAGTCAAATATTTACAGACGTTTCCCCATATATTCAAGTAACAAAGAAAAATAAATATGGTAAACAGGTTTAAAAAATATCAATGGGAAAACTGAACATGTGAAATCACAAAAGTGCAGACGAGTTTACTTTCTCTGTTAAAATGAAATGACTCAAACTGATATATACATTGTATTCATTAAGTGTCCATTTTTCTCATTCCCTTCTGAGATGATAGTTAATGTTAAATGGATCAACCAAGCACCATCTGAATTCATTTTTAATCACTTAATAAAACATAAAATGAGTGACAATTTTTGACGTATTCCAAGCACAGAAAAACCACCACTTCTTTGGTTTATCTTTAAAATGCAGTACCACGGGTAACCTAAAGACACGTGAAGACACTGAATCTACTGGTTTGAAATGCATGACACACAATATTGCCAGATTTTATATCTTCTTCTTATTCTTCTTCTTTTTTTTACAGTTTCTGTAAATAAGCTGAATGAATGTAAAAGCTATTAAACACTCACTGGCCACTTTATTAGGCACACCTTACTAGAACCAGGTTGCCTTTAAAACTGCCCTAATCCTTCGTGGCATATATTTAATAAGTTACTGGAAATATTCCTCAGAGATTTTGGTCCGTACTGACATGATAGCATTACTCAGTTGCTGCAGATTTGTCGGCTGCACATCCATGATTTGAATAACCTGTTCCACCACATTCCAAAGGTGCTCTATTAGATTGACACCAGGTGACTGTGGAGGCCATTTGAGTACAGTGAACTCATCATTTTACTGTGGCGTTGACACGATGCTCAATTGGTACTAATGGGCCCAAGAAAATATACCCCACACCATTACACCACCACCAGCCGCCTGAACCGTTGATATAAGGCAGGATGAATCCATGCTTTCATGTTGTTGATGCCAAATTCTGACCCTACCATCTAAATGTCTTTGCAGAAATCGAGACTCATCAGACCAGGCAACATTTTTCCAATCTCTCTTTTGTCCAGTTTTGGTGAGCCTTTGTGAATGGTTAGACCGGTGTACCTGTTAAAGTAGCCGGTGAGTGTACATCTTAAGCTGAACAGGAAATAAATGTTTAATTTCAATTTAGGTTGAATTTCTTCACACAAATAGCATTTTGTTCAAAGTTACTTGTTAATTAATCAAAAGGAATCAAATTACATTAACCTTAATAGGCTAACTACATTAGTTTTTCTTTTATAAATATAAAAACAATTCAATGCATTCTATATTAGTCCATAGCTATTTTTTTCTCTTTTTAAAGAAGATCTGAATTGAAGTCAATACTTATGTTTTTAATTTAGCTCCATCAGTAACTACTGAATGTGTTTTGCAAACGCAAAGCTACACTGTGAATGAAAAAAGTCTATGATAAAGATATTTAATTAGCTGCAAATAATACAATGCAAGCTAAAATGGAATAGGGTATTAAAATGCACATCATAATATGTAGTTTTTGTTTATCAGTTACACAAGGAAATGGTTGCTAAGTACAGCCATGCTCTAAATCTACAATATACAATAAATGATGCACATGAATAGGCACACAACAGTGAGAATACTTAGTGTTGTTGTTATTTTTTCTCAAAAACACCTCACTTGGAACACCTAAAATAAATTAGTCTGCATTGTAAGATGTCGTCTTGCTCTGTGCATTGAAATCTGCATACAAAAAGCTGGCTGTTCGTATATAGGGCAAATAGCACAGTGCATTTTAGTCGAATTTCTATTCTACGTTTGTTCAATACTCACAATAAGAGGGAAAAAAATCTTTTTTAAGAGTATAAATGCACTAGATACACTGAAATGTATACAAAAGCATAATAAATATACAGCAAGCTTTGATATTAAAGCACTGCGTCACAAAGATACTAATTGTAAGGCAAAACAACCATTGAGTTTTAAAATTTCTGGTCGACTTTTCTGGTCATTTAAAATGTCTATGGCAGGCCTTGTAATTACAGCATACCATGCCTATGAACATTTACCATTCTTTTTTAAATAGAATGTTTATTCAAAACATGAAAATAAAAAAGTGAAACTATCAACCTCATGAGGTAAACCGATTGTTATAGGAAGTGCACTGGCCAATTGATACGTTTGGTAAATGCAATCTCTATTTTGCCCTTTCTTAAAAGATCATCAAATTTCACAGTGTTAAAACTGGAGATGTTAGCTGTTCTCACAGACTCTTGGGATAGTTTATACTGTCATGAAAAATCTACCAAACTATAGAAAGACTGCTGTGATATCTTCTCTCACTTCCTGGTTTGTAAAACCTAATATGTGACAAAGAAACCAAAGGTTTGCATTGTATTCCCTAAATAAAAACATTGTCAGCGTTTCTGTTGAACAACTACCCAATAAACGGAAATAAAGTTAAATTCCAGTCACCGTGAACAGTACGACTGTTTGAATCTTATGTTGCAGACAATGAAGGGTTTGTGTTTCCACTGTGTGGAATTTCTTCATGCAGCAAACGTATGTTCATATTCACAACCGCCAGCTAATTAGATGCAAAAGAAACAACCTTTTTTTGTTAGTGACACTGGATGTACACCAACACTACTGTTCAAAAGTGGGGATGGTAAGCGTAATGTACTTAAATTAAATAAGACTCAAGAAACAGCAAAAACTGTAATGTCTTGAAATAATATTACCATTTAAAGGGCACCTATTTTACTATTTATTTTTTTAAAGATTTAAGATAAGTGTTTTGTGTCTCCAGAATGTGTCTCTAAGGTTTCAGCTCAAAACACTCATCAGATTATTCATTATACCTTTAAAAAATATTGATTTTTCTGCTCTGAACACTATGTAGCTGTTTTTTTGCCTGTACCTTTGATGCTAGTTCTCCCCACCCACTGTTGCTCCGTGCCTGTCAGAGTGTGCCTCAATCTCTGCCTCAGCTGCGTCAGATAAACAGCACAGTGACAGACATGAAGGAAGCAGATAACATTCGTGAGAAATACTACAGTAAGAACTTTAAATGATTATTTGATGTATGTTGTGGTTAATTCAAGCCTTTCTGCAATGATGAGTTACATACAATGCCGTTACAAAGTTCATTGTAAAATCGCTGTAATTCATTAAAAACATGTTTTAAAAACGTTTTAAGCTTGTAAAACTCGTTCTTGATCAAATTTGATGATAATTGATGATCACAGTGAGTTAAACAGATATTTTAATCCCAGTTGCTTTGGATACATCCTGTCTTGGTGACACGATTATTATACATGTTACTACAGAGACATGTTAATATGCGGCTGTGAGTGGGGAAACCGCACTCCTATGTTACGTTGCGGTAGGTCTCAAATTTGGATTTGGGTCATATTTTAACATCAGGCAATTAAAAGAATACTTATTGTGTTTCTATGACTCCATTATAACTGTGGACACACAAAACCTACACACAGTTCTGTCCAAACAGCTTACAAAAGATTATTTTCATCATAGGTGCCCTTTAGAATACTTTTTAAAACTTTTGTTTTGTGATGGCAAAGCCAAATTTTTCGCGGCCATTTCTCACCAGCCTTCATATAACATGATGCTCATGACGAATGTCTTATTGTTGGAAAATTGCCATTTTATGTGGAAAAAAGTCTGAAGTAACATTACAAATATATTTTATTGCATCCTTCCAAAATAAAAATATATATACACTGACCCCAAACTTTTGAACAGTAGTAGTACCAAATTTACTCTAGAAAGTGGTGTTGTTTAAAACAATGCAACCACTTACCATGACCAATACACTGCTAGGTTGCATACTTGTTCCAACCATGACTCATCGTGGACAGAAAAGCAGCATTTTCTCACTTATCTCCAATATCACTTTTCATTTCACCACCATCTGGCATATTCATACCTTTCTATCACTCCAGTCACTGCTGTACTTACAGACCTCTTCTTCTCTCTGAAACTTTGCTCTACAAAACAAGAGTGTAGAAGGGCAAGATAAGGAAGAGTCAATGACAAAAGTGGTGTGATTTATCTCTTGGAATCCCCTCGTCTCTTCTAGTAGTGCAGCACAGAGGCCCGTGGAGCCAAAATGGGTCAGAATTATTGACCTTGAGGCAAAAAGGTGCAACTAGCTCACTATCTATCTAAGTCTTACTTTTGAATCAGCCTGCTCTAATGATTGATTCCTAAACATAATAGTCCCATCCCAGTCCTTTTCCACCAACCTCTTTCCTCCATGGTCGTCAGCCCTGAGAATGGAGGACTCCCTCTTTAACGGAGGCCCTCCTGCGAATGAGGGTTGCTGGGCTCTTGGGAACTGCCGAAGATCCAGCAAGTCTTTGTATTGGATCTCAGGCCTGATCATGCGAAGACAAGCTTCCCAAGTGGCGTTGTTCAGTCCCGACTGTAACTCGTATCCCAAGATTTTCACTAATCCACTCTGGAAGGGGCGGATTGTCTTGTCCCGGATACGACCGGCCTCTATGGGACGTCCGCCGTCACGTAAGCAGATGCGAGTGAGAACTTCCCGTTTGGTTCGAAGCAAGGCCACCTCGGTCTCCATTCGAGAACGGCCGAAGCGTTCCACTTCCTGCCAGAAAGTGAGGTTGAAAGCTTGGTAAAGGTGCCAGTCTAGTGCGTTCCACTCACGTAATTTCACTCTTTGCTTGTCTGTTAAAGCCAAAGGAGCTATAAGCTTGCCCACCCATGCTGATCTCCCAGTGGGCACCTGCTGCCTGGCATTCAAGCTGAAAGAAACCACAGCATCAAGCGGCCAGCACAGAGCGTGGCGGAGCAGCACCATAGACTGGTCAAAGTATTCGGAGAGAAGAATGAGCTTGAAGTTGCGACGAACTGCAGCCACGCCACGCTTAGCCAATGCTAGGCTAAAGTTGGCCGTATGATCTAGACCAAAGTCAAACCACATCAGGTTGCGGGCATAATGGTTATTGCGGAGCCTTGGGTCATAGTACTTGTAGGGGTTGTCAGCAAAATCACCCAGTCCTTTGGCACGCCTAAAGGCAGGGGCAACGTTTTTATAGTAGGCGTAAGAAGATTCAGCTAGAGCCACAGGGTCTCGAAGGATGGAGAAATAGAAGGTGTCAGGTGGCATCACCTTCTCAACCTGTAACAAAAGTAAAAAATCAAATTAAAAAAGGGAACATATTCAATCAAGCTCAAACACTGATTATAAGGTACTTGACAGGTTTGGTTCAACTCCTTATTGCTATTAATCTTATTGCTCTGTTCATTTGATTAAGTCTGAACGAGGCCTGGCCGATTAATCAAAGGCGAGAAAAGCTGGTTCTATTAAATCTCCAGCAAGTGCAGATGGAGCAGCGTTTATTACACAGAGTTGGAGAACAACGACAAGCTACACAAAATCACATATAAAATCTAAATTGATTTATTCAGATGATAATGAAATCAAGGTAGTCATTCTGCAATAATGACCAATGTTTGCATGGCTTCTCAGTGAGCTTCGGCTGTGTGCAGTAAGTGCTGCATGTGAAAATACTACATTTAATAACATGTTTTTACTCCAAACTCACTTCATAATCAAGTGTTTGAAATAAATAATTTTGTGATACGATTCTATAGTCATGTGATTCTAAGTCAAATTAAATCAATGAAAGCAGTTATATCTTGTTTATATTGCAATGTCAAGGGCATTTTCTGGTTTTCTTCAAGTTTGTAGTTTCTGCATGAGAGCACTCTGTGGCCTTTGAAAGAGATTTACTACTGAACACAGAACTGTGCTTCCATGAAGAGATGTGCATGACAGTCACGGTTATGATGAATTGTGTTTAATTGTGATTAATCCCCCAGTCCTACTTTAGTAGGAGAGAAAAAAATCAATCCATCGATGCATCATGATTCTTTCTCAAATGATTCTGAAATGATTCTCAATAGTTCAGAATCTATTCTGTATTCAAATTAGATTATGACTGTGTAGGCTTGTGTGGGCAGCAAGCTAGAAACAGAATAATAAGTGGCGACAGGCTCATATACGTATGCTTCTGAAATTCTACATTTGGACAAAGATGGACAAACTTAATAATTTAAAAAATGTCAAGTAATAAAACATCACATTTGCTGCAGTTCTCATCCCGTCTGCAAACAAAGAAAGAGCTTGTTCATTAATATAATTTTGTTACTAAATCAGATAATAATACTTTTTTTCGGGAATCCTATGGGTCACGGGATTCCTGTGGGATTCATGCAGGATGGGAGTCATCTTTACTTTTAATCATGGGACTGGGACAGTACAGGATAAAATATTGACAGGAGCAGAGTGGAGCGTGAATTAACCAATAGGAAGATGACGAAAAAAATGCACTGCCATTTTGTAGTTTTGTTTTAATAAGATTACAATGTAACGCAATTAAAATGAACTACACGACCCATAAGCCATCAGTGCTGGAGGAAGCAAACATCCGCTGAGAAACTGATGTGGTCAAGAAATTATTTGCACAACAGAAAAAAATAGAAAAATATTTAGGTTAAGACTTGTTTTGGAATCGGATTGTCCCTCTCAGGATCGGAATCGGACCCTGAAATCCCTAAAGATTTCAGTCCCTTTAGAGTCAGTCCCTAAAGAGTCCCTTTATTCATCAGGGGGCGTCACAGCGGAATGAACCGCCGACTTGTCAAGCATATGTTTTTTGTAGCGGATGCCTTTCCAGCCACAACCCAATACTGGGAAATACCCATACACTCTAACATTCACACACATACACTTCTCTTTAGACTGTGGGAGAAAACGGAACACCCGGAAGAAACCCACGCGAACACTGGGAGAACATGGAAACTCCAGAAATGGCAACTGACTCAGCTGGGACTCAAACCAGCGACCTTCATGCTATGAGGCGACAGTGCTAACCACTGAGCCACTGTGTCGCCGATTTCATGTAAAATGTAAATGTAAAATGTAAATGTAAGATCCCCCCCACAACACCTACTGAACACTGCCATTCAAAACAAACAAGCAGACTAAAACCTCTAAAAAGGTGGGTCTCCATCTGCTTCTGAACAAACTCTAGTGTGGCTAGTCAGAAATATGACACAGATCAACATCATGTAGTCTGATCTAAAATAGCATGTGATGTCACAGCACCACAAAGCTTTTCATTTGATGATGTGTGAAGACCCAGTGTATGTTTCAAAAACTTGGTGCTTACAATTATGACCAAACAAATAAGTGTGGACACCTTTTTGTAGAGGATCAGACTTTAAAGCTTGCTTAAAAGATGCTATAAAAATATGAATCTGCAATGAGTAAGTTAACAGGGTATATGCAGAGCTAGTGTTTCTTCCCAGACTGATAAACTTCGGGTTAGCGGTTAACGTGACTTTTTCAATTTTATACGGTTCCTTTTACAACATCGATGTTGTGATGTAATTAAAATATAATCAGCTAAATAGATTTCGGCATTCATTTAGTTGTTCAAGTGTAAAACGAGATGAAAAGCCGTTTACAGACAAGCGCTCGTCAGGATCAGCAGAAGAGCACAGAAGCTTCATTGAACATACTGCACTGTAAAAAAATGTCTGTGATTTCAACTGTAAAAGACTGTAAAAATACAGTAAAAATCTGTAACCTGGTTAACAGTATGTTTCCTTAATATATATAGCGAATAACCGTAAACTGACTTTCCCAAAATTCCCTGTATGGCACGTTACTTTTTATGCTTTTTGTTGACATTAATATGGATCTTTTTAGTTGTTTCCCCATCAGTTATGTACATTAGAGATTTATGTTACATCTGATGTTGATAAACAATGTTTATTTTATGACTTTAATTTTTTGCATGTTACCATATTGGTGTTTAGCAGCTGTGTGAATGACTCTGAGCACCTTCAATACAATGATGCTTGTTGGAAAAGTTGTTTGCGATGAGCATTGGTTCATTATGTAACTTTCTCATCAACACCTGCATATGGATGTGTTAACGTGTCTAACTGTGTAACAAAAAATGTGTAGGTGTTGGTAACTCAAAATACAGACATATTACATCTATAAATTAATGAAATAAGGTAGTTTACTGTAAAAATGCTAAATTAATTTTACGGTTTGTACAGTATTTCTAATGGTAAAATACAGGCAACCACAGCTACCTTTTTTTACTGTTAATTTTACGGATTTATTTTTTACAGTGTGGAATAAAATAAATGTTCATATTTTAATGACATGGTGCAGAAAAATTTTATTTAATGCAGTGCTTCTTGTACATTCTGAGACCCAATTTATATCGTATATCAATCAGGCAGTGAAGATCATTGATTTTTAAAGAAAACAGACCTTAAATGCGCAGATTTTGTAATGGAACACAGTTCACTGGAAGTGTTTGACTCAGGTAACTGAAAAATGAAAAGTCCTTATGTATACTTCTGCATATACCCTATTAGTTACCTGGTTAGAAATAGAAACACAATAACAAAAGCTTTAAATTGCCAGTAAAAATCTGAATATTTTAAAAAAAAAATTTCATATTAAAATGATGCACCACCCTGCATTGCTTTCAAAATCACATATATGGATGCGCCTGCATCCTTTTCAAGGCAAACCATGCAAATAGCTTTGTCACATTTGCTACTGATTGATTTGCCTGCAGCCTGAATAAACCTAAAACTGACCAAATGAATACAGTCAATGTCAAAAATAACTGCAAAAGGAATTCTTTGTACTATTGTTTGGTATTTATTGGTAGTAAAAGGATAGATTAACATTTTAATTGTTTGAGCATAAATCTGTCCAATAAAATGCCATGTTCTGTACCTCTGGTTTGTTGAACCGCATGTGATTTCCCATGATGTCAAATTCTCCCACATGAGGGCTTTTGTATCCTTTCACCCTCTGGGCAATAAAGGGCAGCGGGTAGCCGAACTGATAGCCCAAAGGCAGGGCAAATTTAAGGTCCCGCTCCTCACCAAAGCGATAGAGTAAGTTAAGAACGGTGCTGCTTGCCGTCTTGTGAGTCTTCAGGAACATGATGTGGATGTGTGGCTGACAGGAGCCCAGAGAGGAGCCTTGGGTGTTATCAGAGGGAAGAGAGTAGAGGGACTGAGGCCTCTCCGGCTGCATCCAGCTAATGGAGAGACAGAGCAAAATACCCTAAATGAATCCCCCGTTCCACTCAATATACCAAGAAAAATGATGAGTGAATGAAGAAGAGAGAAAGAGATTCACTGCAAGCACAAGAAACAGAGGAAATTAAGACAGAACGGCCTGTCAGGCTACAGATAATTACACAAGAGCGATAATTGGAATGAAGTGATTAAGGAAGAGAATAAACAGTTTCAAAGAGAATGAGTGAGAACAGATTAGCCTCAAATAATGAATTCAGTGATATTCTGAGTATGTGATGTGCATAATCATTTATTTAAGCCAGGAGGCATGTTATAAATCAGTGTTTCTCAAACTGTGGTACGTGTACCACTAGTGGTACGCAGGCTTCCTTCTAGTGGTACGCGGAGGAATAAAATATGTCATGTACATGCTACACACATTTCAAAATTTATCAAAAATGATGTACATAATAAGCCATATATGACATATAGCCTATATTTCTCAGGTAATCTGCCACATTTTTTAACTGTGCAGAGCTGTAACTGCTTTAATTGGCCTACTACGTTACTATATTTCAAAACTGCTCATTTTGGTGGTACTTGAAGAGACAATTTTTTTCTGAGGTGGTACTTGATGAAAAAAATTTGAGAACCACTGTTATAAATCATTTTAATAAGCAAAACGAGAATACTGTATGAAATTACAGATAAAAAACAAATACTTTATAAGGGGCCAATACATCCGGGAATGAAAATTACATAATTCCAAGTATAGGTGTAACTGCTCACAGTTAATCCAGTTCGGAGGGCACATGAACCGTGGATTAATAACTTTTTTTTAACTTATAGGTTAATCCAACATTTATTTGCATTTAATAAATGTTTATTAATTGCAGAGAGATTGCCTCCCGTGTCATTCAGATCACATCTATGAAAGCATTTTGGCTTCCCTGTAAAATATAATGATGAAAGAAAAGGTTGTGGTGGGACCTACCTAAATGCTTTCTTAGATTATTTATTAATGGTGTTTCTGGCACTGTATGTTTAGCCTGTATTAATGCATTTAGTGTAAAGCTGCACAATTAAACATTAAAAGATCCTGATCTCAATTCAAACACATGCAACATGAATGATAATGATTTGCATATTTTTAATCCTTCGAAGCGCTGCATTCAAATCTTCGTTTGATTGAGAGATATTCAGCACCATTTACACTTTTTCAGGTAGTTACAAACAATTAAATAACCAAGAAGTACTGGGAGAACAGTTTACAGTTCAAATATAAACACTGCTGTTTTTAGGGAAAAGATTAAAATCACAGTGACGTTGGTGAATGTTGTAGCATTTACATTAAGTAACCAATGGGTGGCGACAAACAACCATTAAAATGATGTCACTGAATAGGTATTCAAAAATGATCCACCTATAATGAAACATGAAGTTTTATGTGTGAATTGTTGAATCATTAATTGAAAATAAATATATGTAATGTTGTACAAGATGTTAGAGTTCTATATTTAGCATTATCGACAACAGCAGCAAAAGGTCATTGTTTATTTTGAATATTTTCTTTTTTTTCCAGCTGGTTCTTTCTTGATTTTTATTTTTAACAAAAATGACAGGTTCTAAGTTCTGTTTGTTAAAATTAATGTTTTTTTAAGGAATGTATTCCTTAGAAGAGTCTATTGGGCACAATGCCATTGATGACTTTTACAGTTTGTTAATAGCCTAAAGCATTATCAGCAATCCAGCAGGAAACTGTAAACTTATTTAAGCAGCATTATATCTTAAAGGGACAGTTCACCCAATAGTGAAAACTGTTTACTCATCTTCCACTTGTTCCAAACATGTTTGAACTTCTTTCATCTGTTAAACACAAAGATATTCCATAGAATGCTGGATCAAAGCACACATTGACTTCCATAGTATTTTTGTTTGTACTACAGATGTCAATAGATGTTTTTTCTAACATTCTTCAGCATATCTGGTTTTGTGTGAAAGTTAAGGAAGTTTTTGTTTTTGTTTTTACTATCTGACTAATGCAGTTTTAAAAATATGGTTAGCATGTTTCCAATAAATGACTTTATGTACTGGGTAAACAAAAATGTAAAGAATAGAAAGGAGTTATTTGAAAAGGAATGAGGATGAGCAACATTTTTCATACCTCTTGTTGAAAATGACTCCCAGAAGTTGCCCTGCAAAAGCGATGACAACAAATACCAGGAGTGCTTTCCATATGGGCCCCAGCCGATAACATCCCAGCCACCGCATTCTCCTATGAGCAACAGTAAATTACGGTTAGCCTCAGTCGTGAAATTGTGCAAAACAGGAGAGTATGACATGCTGTTTTAACCTATAATCTGTAAACCATATATATTATTTTTAATATATAGTAGTTAACATTTGAAGTGGACCATCACTGTTCATCAAAGTTGTCCTTAAACTGTTGAACAACACTCATTCTTGTACTAGGAAAATTTTGAAAAACATTTTTAATTCACCGCGAATGTTAACTAGTGTATATTCCGTTAAGTATTAATAATTTGTTGGCTACTAGTGCATATTCTTTAGATGCTACTACCTTTTTGAAACATACTACTAACATATTCAATAGATACTCTCGGATTAAATATTATAATTTATTAAATACCAGTACTCACTCATACTACCTTTTAAATAGAGACTAGTAGTTTTTGGTCACTTTAAATAAGGTTTCTTTTGTTAATGAATCTACTATCATGAACTAATAATGAATGATACTTAATATAAGATAATATAAGATAATGGTACAGCATTTATTAAGCGTTGATCAGCATTTACTAATGTATAATTAACATTCAAATTCATTTTAGTCATTGCACTCTATGTAAACATGAACTAACCATGAACAACTTTATTTCTATTAACTAACATTAACAAAGATCAATAAATACTGTATTAAATGTATTGTTCCTTGTTTGATTACGTTAGTAAATACATTAATTAACATTAACAATAATTACAATTCCTAACATTTATATGCATTTCTGGACACTCATAGCTATGTACACATTTTTGGGGGTAAATCTCCTCATCCACTACCAGACTGCAGCATCCACCTAAATGACACCAGACCATACACTACACAGCAGCTGATTGGTGGAGAGGAGACAGAGCAATGAATCCACTTAAAATATGGGGATGTTTAGGCTTTAATCTCTAATCTTTAATGTCCATGATGGACAGAAGCCAGTAGGCTAATTTGGCCAGGATGCCGGGGTACAATTTCGAAGGATTTTTAAATCAGGGCCTCGGTTTAACGTCTCATCTGCTCACTGAGCAATATACTGGGGCGTTAGGACTCACACAGACTACAGGTTGAGCGCCCCCTGCTGGTCTTACTAACGCCACCTCCGGCAACAACCTAGCTGTCTCATGTGGCCTCCCATCCAGGCACAGCCCTGCTTAGCTTCAGTGGGCAAAGATATGAACGTTGCAAAGAGCTAGCTTCTGGTTTAAAAAAAAAATTAATGCAACCATTTTAAAGTGTTACCCTTATTTTAATTGAACAATTAACGCTTAGAACAATTTTTTACGTTTTTGCCATTGACTTGGGAATCTGTCAATAGCTATCCAAAAATGCTAATTAACTTTATTCGCAAAACTGGAATATTACATTCAAATAAAGCAGCGTTTTCATCCAACGAGTCAAAGCGAACAAAATTGTCACTACCTGATGAACTGGCGCCAAATATCAACAGTAAACGTAATTTGCTGCAGTACGAGAAGCTGCATATATCTTTTCCTCATTTAATAAATGACTTGTGCCACAGAAGACAAATGCCGACATGCAATCCTTGATGTTGATGGTGTTTGAAGGCGTGAGATGCTGAGCGCAGATGCTCTTGACAGTTCAGTAGGTCATTAATAATATAATAACACTAATACTTGAATGGTTAAGGAGTGTTAGAATGACCAAAATAGCATTTCAGATGTTCTACAATGTGCTCAGCCGGCTGGTTTATCCATTCACACACATTTCTATCATCACATGATCTCTTATAACAATGTCACATGACATTTTTTAATGCGCATACTGGAATTTGTTTAGTAAAAATGTTTCCATCATAGTTTATGCACATCTGTTCTTATCGACTAAAAAGTTTATCCTACTCAGTTATGCACATTTTCAAAACTTAAGCATCTTGGCATTTCCATCAACCATTTTTTATGCGCATATTTAAAATGCACACAAAAAATAGGTGGATGGAAACGTAGCTATTGAGATATCAGCTATTTGGTTTTGATTCCAGTTGTGACTTTTACATTTTTTTGATACTATAGTTAGTTATTCTCTAGTGCTGTCGCCTCACAGCAAGAAGGTCAATGATTTGAGCCTCGGCTGGGTCAGTTGGCGTTTCTGTGTGGAGTTTGCATGTTCTCCCTGCATTCGCGTGGGTATCCTCCGGGTGCTCCGGTTTCCCCCACAGTCCAAAGACATGCGGTACAGGTGAATTGGGTAGGCTAAATTGTCCGTAGTGTATGAGTGTGAATGGGTGTGTGGACGTTTCCCAGGGATGGGTTGCGGCTGGAAGGGCATCCGCTGCGTAAAAACATGCTGGATAAGTTGGCGGTTCATTCTGCTGTGGCGACCCCGAATTAATAAAGGGACCAAGCCGAAAAGAAAATGAATGAAAGAATGAATGAATGAGTTAGTTATTCTTGTGGAACTACTTATTCTTGTTGAAATACTATTACCTGTTAATACATTTTTATTGCATAGTAGTATTTATTAATTAGATACTACTTCATGTTTATTAGATGAAAATAAATACAGTTTATATATTCAGTGATAATAAACTAATGTTTAAACAGCTTGCCACTGGGTGAAATGTTCAATAGAGCGCAAAAATGACAAAAGATCATCAACAGGGAAGCGTGAAATGTGAAAGTGAAGAAATGCAAGGCTGCGATTAGAAACACAATGCTGACATTACGCGACTGCAAACGCAGAAGAAATCCGATCCTGAAGAGACAAACGTGCGGGTGTATCGAATTCACACATAATAAACAAGCACAAAAAGATGTTGTCAGAAACTCTTTTCCATGCCTTACGCCTATTATAAATCAATCACCCAGGATTCCCTGCAACGCTGGATTTATTATCCCAGTGCAAACAGCTCTTTTCCCCCAATACTGCAAAGAGACATTTTATTGCGTGTATGAATGAAAGATAAACAGGCTTGATGGAGAGGATAAGATGCAAACATGGCCTTTGTTTCTGTACACCTGCTAAATAAAGAGGCAAGTTGCAGAATCGCTTCGGACAAAGACAGCCCGTGGCTGTCATAAATCACAGATTGCGCCGAACAGTCGCGCTGAGCCTGACACACTTACCGAGCTGACCGTCTGAAAACCATGGTAAAACCCGGCCCGTATCACTGTAGATCGGCGCTTGGCAACAGCCACGGTGCATCTCGGCCGATGCCTTTCAAATCCGCCCGTCGCCCGTGTAACAATGCAAGAAGAGCTCCATCCGAGTAATGCCCGACCGCGCAGCCGTCAACAGCGGTCAGACCTCGCCTGTTTGACGGGCATGTGCTCCTGCTCAAGTCGCTCGGAGGCAGCGGTAGCCGGTTTGGGTGAAGAAAAGAGACCGCTTTGTGTTTTGGCCAAGTGTGGGCGGGTATAATGCTGCGTGCTGGTGTGCGAGGCGAGGACTGACGTCAGACTGGCACTTTGCTTACCAGCCTTAAATCCTGATTCTCAGGAAAGATAAGCACGGATTTTGCTTAAAGCGGGGAATGAAAGTAAAAATCAGATCTATGGACGTTACCAACGAGGAAAGCGGCATCCTATAATAGAATTATATCAGAGGCACACATTCACAGCTTGTTTGTTTATTTATTTGGTAAGACGTTAGATATATGTTATTACTGGCTTGAAATTAGGCAAGGTGAGTTTATTTTTATAGCATTTCATACACAATGGTAATTCAAAGTGCTTTATATAAACAAGAATTATAGAAATAGGAAAATAAAAATTATTAAAGTAATTAAAAAATGATTAAAATGTGTTAAACAAGTTTAAAAAAGAAAAAAAGACAGACATATTAACATGTTATATCAATGCTGCTAGTGTTGACTTTATAATGAATAATTCTGCATGACTTTAACTTATTGAAGCTATACAATTGTCTGACATGACCACATTGATGATTTTCTGCTCTGTTATGATCCGTTAATGTTGGTGCTTAATCATTATTCACACTTTACAATAAAGGTTTCATTAGTTAACGTTATAATGTATTTATTAACATAAACTAAGAATGAACATTATATGTAAAGCATTTACTAATAATCAGTTTATCATTTAGTAATGCATTATTAACCCTTTAACTGCCCCACCAAGAAAAAAAATTGGATTGCATTTCTTAGCTGCTAATGTCGCTAGTGAACACACTTAATGAATTCTTTTTTTAATACATCCCATAATTTCTAAAATATCAACCTCTACCAAATGGTTGACATGTCGGTTTATGGTAAAAGTACCAGAATTAATACATCTGTTAGAGTTGAAATATTACAAATATTTTTGATGTCTTTGACAATTCAAAACATGAGCTGAAAACAGGGCCAATTGACTCCACAACCCAGCAGGTGGGAATGCGTGAAAAACCAGTTCCTGCTGCATTTCCATCTGAGTCTGCTGAAGCTCGGCTTCAACCACCCCAACTCACACATATGGTCATTTCAATGTTTGAATGCTCTAGATTAACCAAACTGACTTTAACTATCATGTTTGATATCATTTGAAATGTCTCAATGCGATTGGTACAATGGTCTCATTCTCTCAGAAATAGACATAATCAAAACAATAAATATATAACTTCAGGCATCTTTTGAACCACTGTTAAGGGTGTGACTTTTCCACAGGCAGCCCTAAGAGTGAATGCCTTTTGTTATGCACACACCCTTTCCTTGAGGGGATTCTTGGATTATTTAAGGTAAGGTTTGAGAAAGGCTCAGGGCGATTCTGCCTAACCAGATCAGCCCGTAACATGGAGCTTGCGCTCCACGTTATGTAGCTATAATTTGAAGTCAGGTATGCATCTTTTCATCTTGGATTTGTCTTTGATAATTTGATGTTTTGTATTGATCGTTTATGAATTGACTGATTGAATTTGGCATAATACATTTACCTGACTAATAAATTATGTTTTGAATTATTCAAACCTCGTGTTATTATCACTGGTAAATGTTGTTGTCCATAGCACTACAAGCCACTGTACAGGTTAGTAACGGACTAAAACATGTTAGACGGAGCACCGTGGCACGCTATACAATGTTGTTAGAGATCCGACTAATAAATTGGCATTAATTCAAGTATACTTAGACTGCAAAAGGCCAACTATTTAGAACAACACAATATTGTTGAAACTAATTTAAATGTGGATATTTAGGCCTTCATCTACAAACGTATAATCCTGCGCGATTATTATTAAAATACTTTGTCTTGATTAAGTAGATAACAGATCTATGGGGACCACATAAAAATCTCCTAAATTGAGTAAGTATAGGGTTCTGCCACATTAGGAGAGTGGTTAATCGCCTCTGTTTAATGACCAAGACTGACAAGCTTGTATTAAGAGATTGTATACCCGGCCGGTGCAAGACTCGAGATGCTATAAGAATCTGAATAAATGAGAATAAGGTATAATAACAAATCGAAAGAATATTCAATCATAATCCAAAATAATGTGAAAGGAAACAAAATAACTTTATCAATGTTTTATAATTGGAGTCAGATAAAACGAGGATAAATATATTAATATTCTAGACCACCTCATACTAAAATTGGAGTCAGATATGAGTTAAGTTTAATATAGATGAACATTGTGCACTGGAAAGACCGAACATGCAGTGAACCTTCATCCACTGTTGGATACCGTCATTGGACCAACTGGGTGGACTCTACACATCTAATATGAAAACATGAAGTGTAAGATTAATTTATTTAAAAACATAACAAAAATAAAACAAAATTAAATACTAAATCATCTTTATTTTTTGAAGTTTGCTATAAAATATTCCAGATTCCTATTTAACACGTTTTCTTCTTACTATCCTTTGCAATAAAACCAAAATCAAGTGTAGTAGTGCAACCGGACTATGTTTGTTTTATTTTTTTGTAAACCAACATTGCTGTATGTTTAAGCCATTATTTAAAACATTCATTTAATCATTTTCTTTTCGGCTAAGTCCCTTTATTAATCCGGGTCGCCACAGCGGAATGAACCACCAACTTATCCAGCACATGTTTTATGCAGCCGCAACCCATCACTGGGAAAATTTGTTTATAAAACAGTCATTCTTTAAATTTCTTTAACAGTTATTAATTAAAACAGTAAAAATAATAACCATTTGGTAGAGCAGACAGTTAAAGGGTTTAAATCCAATAACATTAACCTAGTTGTGTATTAACAAGAACTTACTATGAACTGCTGTATTTTCATTAACCAACAAAGATGAATAAAAACTGTAATAATTGTATAGTTTATTCAAATATATAAACTAATGAGACCTTATTGTAAAGTGTGACCTTAATAACTGTTCTCATTATCAACTTTGAAATAGGTTTGCTTTAGATTTGTTTGGAAACTATGATACATTTTATTTTCAGGATAATTATTTTATATAGTTATATTTCATTATTACATTTAGATATATATATACATATTATGTATTCAGTATTATATAATTTATTATGTAGGCTACAAACAAACAAACAAACAGTGGGGTTAATGTTAGTAATTGAATTATAATATTTAGGGTTTATTTATTAGCAACAAATATTTAATTATGATTATTGAATGCTAATTATTGAAAATTAAAATGGAAAGTTACGGATTATATCCTAATAAAACCTGGCAGTCGATTTTAAAACATTAAAATCAATGTCAATAATATGCCTAATATGTAGCATGCATCAATTTAAACCAAAAACTCGTAAGTTATTCAAAAACCTGTTTATATAAACGCATGAATACACAAGTTGCATTGTGATTGTGTTGCCAGAAGCAAGAGCAATGCACAAAAGACGTGCTGAATAGCCATGCAGAAAACATTGGCATGCGCTCGAAAGATGTAATTAACTAACACCCCCTCACCAGATGAAATCTAATAAAACTGCAAAACTGCTTTAGGGATTCTTGAGATGGCAAATAAATGACAAACAGAACAAAAAATGACGCTCACTCAATAATCTTACTGCAGAAGCATCTCCACGTAGGCCATACCAAAAAGCTTCTGAATGTTTAAAAACGTACCATTAGTTAAAAAAACCAACCATTAGTTTTCAGTTCAGTTACCTTCATTTTTGTCATTCAAAACATCACAATAGATTGTAATTCAGAACGAAATTACGTAAGAACATAAAAGAACATCAAAACACTATTAAAACCTAACATAACAAATAAGCTTTTGTAATTTCATATATATATATATATAACCCAATTTTAAAAATCATATCTGGTTCATGTGATTCAATCACAAGTGGTCAGCTGAGACAGATGTTGTGTTATTAACTGTTATTTACGTGACCACTCGTGATTGTATTTATTTTTCCAAGTGAAACAATTCTGATTTCCTGCATTTCATAGAATATCAATGTTTTTCAACAAGCAAATTGCTGGCAGTACTCCAAAAATAGGCATTAATTATGGAGATATAAGTGTGATGCATTTTACTCTAAGCATTTATATCTGTTTGCACAATGTATTTGTGTATGATTTTGTCTGAAAGAGTCTGGAAGCCATGTCCCCTTCGCTAATCTTTACATAATTAAAGCTGTTTCAGTTGAGTTCACAAACTGTCCAATATTCCATACCTTTTAGTTATGCTAAATAAGGAGCATAAACTGGAACAGGAATAGAAGTATACAAGTAACCAACCCAGGCTCATTCTGATTACGTATCCCTATACATTTCTGAAGAGAGCAAAATATGTCCCAGGCCAGGAGGATCTTTTTCAGATCTCAAATTTTACTTGCGAGTGCCATTCGCTCCTGCTCTTCTCACGTAAATCCACCAAAGGCCGCTGTCGACTGACTGACCAACTGACCGATCGCCACACCCCTTCCCTTTTCCTAAACCCAATCAATAGTATTTTAAAAAGCACCAATTGACCCACCCACCCCCTTGCCTAAACTCAAACTACAGTGTTTTAAAAAGCAATCCAGAGAAAGAAAAGCCCCCTGATATTTACCATGTTTTCAGATTTTACCTCAATCCCACTCTGTTGTTTAATTGGTTATTTTTCTTTTTAGCTTAAATTTTTGTCTTAACCCCTTTGTGAAATCGTTCTTTACCAGACTTCAAACCTGTTGTTGGCGTCAACTCAGCTCTGCATCTCAAGTCCGCCGATGTACATGGCGAGCCACTGGTCAGCTGGTAAGCGCGAAATGGAACAGCGTCATATCACCCCGTAGACTTCATTTTAAAGATGAAACGCAGCCATACGTACTTCTGTCTACATAATTCACGACCTCCAGAAATGTATTTAAGGCTACATTTTCAGAATGAGTCTATGCAGCAACTAACAAAATTGGGATACCTTAACATTTTTTACACACAAGGGGAAAAAAACTTATAAGTCATTGTTAAAATGTTGATCTAAAACAAATAAGATTTAACTTCTCTGGTTCTGTGTGTCCCTCTCTGACAGCAACCAGCATTTCTGGCATATGCAGTGATGTCTGGTCAAACATGATAGATGATAACAGCGGACTTTTGCAAAATGTTAGTGTCGTGGTGATTCATAAACAACAATGGCTGTTAAAATGATTGTTTTAGCTCATATTGTGCGTCTAAAA